AATGGTGTAATATACTTAGAGCAATATAGTTGGTCGACTTTTTAGATTAATTAGACACCAACAATTTGTGTCAATTAACAATATAAGGTAAGCTTTAATAATAATTTTACAGAATACAAAAGTATACGTTTCGGCACATGCCTTCATCAGTACATCAAAAAGACAATTAAATAAGTATATATTAAATGTACATAATATATATATACAGATATCCTACCTAAAAGGGGAAAAAAGGGGGGGGGGGAATAGAAGTGGGCGAAAAAAACAGATAGAGACAAAGTAAAGGAAAGTTGAAAGGATGTGGTTTCAACAAAATTGTAAAAACCAAACAGGAAAAAGACCTGGCAGCTAGGTAAAATTGTGGATTTAGTTTTGAGAGCTTGCAAATTTAGTAATGACTAAATAATGGTGTACGTCGACTATTGCGAGCTTGTTAGCTACACGTTCAAATTCTAGTCAAACCGATTTAATTCATATTAAATGCAATTTCAACTCGAATTTTCTTTGGCTGATTTATCTTGTTACTAGTGAGACCACAGCCAATTACAAGCCAGACAACAGCCAATTACAAGCCAGACCACAGCCAATTACAAGCCAGACCACAGCCAATTCCCTCAACGTACTCGCAGCAACATAGTCTTTTTTTTTTAAAAATAATAATTTCGACACTTTGATTCAAACTTTTCACTTCCAGAATGCCTCGTTACTTTACCGTTATTTTACCGACTACGTTTGCATATATGTTATAAACCGGGCCCAACATGTTTTGCGAGGCAGGAGAGCCACATCTAAACATGCAACACTTAAGGTTCCACATGTGTGAACTATATGACTAGCTCGGCACACTCCCGATACATGAGATCACTGTTCCTGAAACGCGTGTGTACATATTCAGCTGGCTAATTTAACTGTGCTTAGTGGAATGGGTCACGGCCACTAATGAGCAGAATAACATCGTCTTGTCTTCAGCTTGTCAGTGCAAAGGCGTCTAATTTATCTCTACTTCCGAGCCATTTTCTTAGAAAAGGTTTTTTAAACTGGCGATGACTGTACAGAAATTCAATACAATGCTTTTCGACTGGTTTAAAGAAAAAATATTTCAACCAGATTTCAATGGATGCTAATTCGATAGTGAATGCGATGGCTGCAATTGCTCTTAACGGGAAAGCCACAAATGTCACGTCTGCGTATTTGTTTTTTAAAAATATCTCCCCTTTAATATTTAGTTTGTTTTTCGGATTTGCTTTGCAATGCAGACATATTTAAAATATAATTATTTAGTTTAAAACGTATGGTATCGCAACAGCATAGTAAGTTTAGGTGGATTTGTGGCCTTTGGGAGCTTTGGGTGCTTTGAGGGCTTTGGGGGCTTTGAGGATTTTGAGGGCATGAGGGCTTTGAGGACTTTGAGGGCCCATATTCATACTAGTTTAAAAGAAACATTTTTTTTTTAAAAATCAAATACCGAGAATTGTAGGGGGAGGGGGGTGGGGGTAATGTTTCAAAGTCTGCAAGGAAATCGCACTGTTTTACGGAAATTCTAAAGTTTTGAAAGATTATTTTTGACTTCTTATTTAATGTCAAAAATTTATGGAATGTCCTTAAATTTACGCACGGCTGACATTTGCTGCTTTGAGCTGCAGGGTTAGAAGTTTGTTCATATTTGCAAAGGAATGAACTTTTTTTTCAATATTATTTTAATTTGACAATTTAACAGCATTGTCCCACTGAATATACAAAAAAATTGACGGAGGATTTGGGTCGAAAATTTTTCTGTCAGCACCCAGGTGACATTTTTTCAAGGTTCACCACTGGGGTGAGTTAAATTAACCCTACGATCAGTGTTGTTTGTACTCCAAAACCAGCTTTTTTCAAACATTTTAATAAATTATATATTCATAAGAATTAGCTTAAATTCCGTCGAAAATATTCACCGGTATTCCGTACCGTCCGTACCGTCCGTACCGGCGTATCGTGTGGCAAAACGAAACCGCCTTCCAACTTCCGGGTCAATAACATGCGTGCCGCAACTAACTGTGCCGCTCTAACAGTCTTGAGAAACAGGAAAATGATGATACGTTCCCCGAACCTGTCAGACAATTTTTTTTTTGGGGGGGGGGGGGNTAATGACATGCTGAGTAAAAGGGCACTGCCACCGACCCACCAGCGCTATTAGGGTATCGGGCGGATATTAGGACGTAAATCCACCATCCCGACCCCCGCGAAAGTCGACTGCTGATATTGTGAGAGCAGCATCAGTGACAGCGAGGATGTCCTTATGCTGAGCGCCATACCCCCCCCCTTTTTTTTTTTTTTAAAGCTAGTCCGTCGAGTGAAGTTACGACCCGGGGGGGGGGGCTGTCTTGGCAGGAGAAATTCTTTAATGTGCCGCTTCGCAACACGATAGTTAGGGGACTTTTCGGGCTTGGTTTAAGGGGAAGGTGGGTCTTTGGGGAGGGCGTTTAACAGCAGTGTCCTTGTGTGTGGGCCGTAACTAACCCGTTTTCACCTTAACTAATACGGCTCGCTTGCACTATTTACTAATTTATATATCCGGGCCCTGACAGGAGACTATTTCAGTGTTATTGGGATTTTCTCAGAAATAAGGCGGACACCTTCCTACCAGAAATAAGGCGGACACCTTCTTACCAGAAATAAGGCGGACACCTTCTTACCAGAAAACTTAGCGTGACGAGTCTTTCTTTTAATGAACATCTTTCTGTATAAATGAAGATGAAAATGGCCCACACACAAGGACACGGCTTTTTAACGCGGTGTTCACTGTTTATGTCGACCTGTGTCGTGGCGAAAGTTATGGTCTACAGGGTAGGAATACCTTTACTTGGTAAATTAGAAGACGGGTAGCTGTATTTATTTCATTGTTAAGCGAGATGTGCGGTGTGCAACGTGCAGATAGTGTTGCCCCGCACCTTGGACGGTACTAGCGGTAGCCTTTTCGCTCAATGACTTCAACACTCCCGCTTAAATTTGCCAGAACCCGCTCTACAAGCAAAGGAATACGTTTTCCACTTTTTTTTCTAACTTTTAAATACAGCTCGCTTGTCTGATTTTTCTCTTTTTAAATTGCAAATACATCTGCAAAACTGCTCTAGATATATGTAAAACGAGCGAAACCGTAACTGATCTAGGTCACTTACTACTTCATGGTCACAATTCAACACAGTGTCATCGAAAAGATGAAGGAGGACTGAGGAATGCCCCAGGGCATTTGGGGACTGTGGAATGAGGTGAAGATGGTTGGGGGGATTTTCAGGCGAATGGGAACGAGGAATGTTTCAGATAAAGGTTAGACCAAAGAGGGGGGGGGGGGTCACAGGTGAAAATTGCGTGACGGTGTAATGACCTGTATCCCATATTTGAGCTCAAGGGCACGACGGGACGTTGTGTGGCTCGGTAGACCAGGATTTTTTACAGACCAACTGGCTTCCGAGAACTTGTCGCTAATGAAACCGCCTCGTCTCCGTTAAGTTATGACCTCATTTAGCATCCTTAAATCCTTACTGGTCATCTTCCTGTAAGCGTAACCATACGTTTATGTTAGCTCATCCTAACATCTCCCAGACCAGAATGAGAGATGTGTTATCATTTTTTACTAACAGTTCCTTTGTTTTCATGCTTGTTTTTCTTTTCTCTACAAGGATTTAAAAGCAGCACATCCATTTTAAAGCTGTTTTTTTTAGTCTAGAAAGTTTTCATTGTGTCTGATTAATTGTTTTAGATTTTACAACATTAAAAAATCTGCTTTTATATGTTCAATATTGTCATGTTGCTATGTGATTTAAATGATAAAAAAAAATATTTTGTATAACAAAATTCATCAAAACATTCACTTGGAAGGGGTTGAAATTAAAACGTTTATTTTCCAATTTTTGGGCAGATATTCATTTATATTTTTGCCAGCATTGAAAGAAACTTACACCGTGTCCAGCCAATGCCGTCTGAGTGACATTTCACCGCCTAAACATACAGACTGGCATTTGTTTTGTCTTTACGGCGCTGATCGCAGATGCCACACGTTTGATGCCTTCAATGCAAGGAAGCTGAGTGGGAGGACTTGTCATTACAAGAAATAAAAATCTAGTGGACGGAGTATACCCCCAAAAGAAACACAACCTGGTCTTAGAGACTTGCTTAAGGGTGAGGTTAGACTGCGCGTAAGATCGGAAATATTGTAATTGATTGTAAAAGTCTTGGGGAAAATATTGTTGAGGCCCTAATCTAGAGGAGTTTGTTTTTAACATGACCTGTTACTTTCACTAAATGTACATTCTTGTTATAAAAATATGTATAGAGGTACGATCATGAAGGGAAAGAAAAGATATTTATTACCGGAGAGAAAAGAGCATAATGGGTTGATGTATAGCATTTCCGCTTTCATATCATTTGTGTTTGTCATGGTTTGGCTAAGTAAACATTGATCGGATGACGTCACCATGAATTGAGAGGAAAGGAATTATTCAGAGCAAAAGTATAAATTTTATTTTTTTAAACGATATTATCAGGTCTGTTGGAACTGACCCTACTAATCTTTCTGGAATAGAGTTTAGAAACCATAAACATGATTTTGGAACCAACCCCAATTGGTAAAAGTAGGCGGCAACCACGGGCAAGCCACTCTGTTTCACAAAAATGTGAACGTACCCTACACAGTTCAACACGGATGTGGAACTTAATCCTGAAATGCCCGCATGCATAAATTAAACTGCTTTTTGCTTCCGTGAACATTTCCACCATCTTGTGTTGTGTTATAATGTATTATGTCGGACACTTTTTAGATGTGTACGTAAAAAATACTTTATCTCTTTAAAAATCAATACGAAGGCGAAAAGACATCTAAGACAAAGCCTGTTAAAAAAAAAAACGTTTCTGTAGATAGTTGGAGGTAAATTAACCCTTAACATGAGCCAGTGCAGATTTTTCAATAGGATTGATTAACATTTTTTTTTTTACAAAATATTACTTTCTTACTTTCATTTGCAGTAGACACAAGTGATGGTTAGGATGGAATCATTAGAGAGTTGCCAGTCTTTCACATCAGTTCGGGAAACAAGGAAGTGAAACCTTTTGCCCAACCTGTAGTTTTACGATGGCCTTTCTATCTCTACAGCTATTTTGTCTCATTGCATTCGCATTAAACTTGTGCTCGCTGTCCATTCAGTAAAAAAAAGGTAAGTATTTAGAGTATTGCGCAAATTAAGAGCATATTAAATCTTCACAGTGGCAGGAGGACCAATATGTAGTTGAAATTTAATTACATACATTTCTGGCCAACTGACGCATTCAACATGTATGATAGTAAGATGTAAACAATCAAAGTAGGACTAATGAGACCAATGTGTAACCAATCAAAATAACATTCATGAGACTAAAATTTAACTAATCAAAGAAGGACTTAAGAGTCTGAAATGCAAAACACAAAAAAAAAAAAAAAAAAAAAAAAAAAAAAAAAAAAAAAAAAAAAAAAAAAAAAAAAAAAAAAAAAAAAAAAAAAAAAAAAAAAAAAAAAAAAAAAAAAAAAAAAAAAAAAACCGGGATTAATGAGACTCAAATTTAACCAATCATATTGGGTCTCATGATTCTAACATGTAACCAATCAAAGAGCAACTTGCAATATTCTTAGTGATAGAATAACCTTAAGACCCCACAACCCAGGCAAAACACGTGTTAACCACTAGTTGTCGCCCATCTCAACAGGCTGTACATTTTTCGGCAATAATCCATTAGTAAGTAGCACGTGCTTCCATTTGAGCAAAAAAGCCTTGACCTGGCAGGATGCGCACACTTTCTGTCATTCAAACCAAGGATGGCTGATGAACTCTGTGTATGAAACGGCCTCCTACGTTGACCCCAGGGTACTGAAATTTAACGGTGAGTAAAGTAGTTTTATTATTGTTGCCCGACCGTTCATGGTGATCCCTTTTTAAAGGCACCCAAACAAACAAATTCGGTTGGTGTAGTTTCGGCGCCAGGACTTCTCCGTTAATTTGCATGTTACAAAAATCTCAGAATTCCCACATCTTATGTCAATATTTCGAAACCTGGATCTCTAACTCTCTAACATGCAGGTGTGGGGATTTTTTTTCTTGTTTCGTGCATGGGATCGGTGGTCTTACAGGCCTCAGGGCAACTACCCCTTTTTTTGCGCGAGGTCCCTAGAATTTTTTAATCCCATTATTGACTGGAAGATATTAGTAGTTGTTCCTTTCGGTCCACCCAGGCTATTTCATCTCTTTGGTGCCAGCCTTGTGTGGTTAGCGTTTTCCTACCAAAGACAAGGCTGGGCGACTGGAAGTCAAACGGCTAATTCACACGTTTCTCACGTCACTTGTAAAGTCATATTCGTTATCATGTTATTATTTCTATTTTTAAAAATTGTCATAGTGAGTTTTATGAATACGGATTGCAGGGGTGCACTTCCAACATTTGTCATAGTGAGTTTTATGAATACGGATTGCAGGGGTGCACTTCCAACATTTGTCATAGTGAGTTTTATGAATACGGATTGCAGGGGTGCACTTCCAACATTTGACGATGGGAATATAATTCTGGTCTACAGCCATATTATTACTAGAGCATGATGTTTTTTTTTTATCATGTTTGGCTTTCATGACATGTTTGAGATGATGTGCCACACGATAAATCTTTTGAGCAATTCCCACACAACAACGTAAATCCAAGAAGGAAATTTAATTGTCCATACTAACTGAGCCGTGTGTCGCTGTGAGATCATTTGAAGGGGCTGGGAAAAGGAAGGGGGGGGGGCTTAACTAAAATAATTAATAAATCTCGTTTTAACATAACTGTAGGAGACCAGAGCGACCTGTGATCATTGTTTAAATCTTCTTCTTAACCACCTTTGTCTATGCAGCAGATTTATATCATTCCCGTATCTTCTTAAGCTATTTACGAACATCTAAGATGAGACACACGAGTTACCCTCGCCAAAAGCGTTGTTCAGAAGTAAGATTGCTTTGTGCATGACAAGATGTGATCAATAGCTTCTCGTTAGCTTTGAAAGCATTGTCAATGTGGAACACTTCAATCAAAAAATGTATCTTGGATATTTTTTATACTGGAATAAATCGTTTGACTCTAATCCCTGTGACCTCTAGGGTTTTTTTTTCTTGGTTCCCAGACAACTGAACGCACGACAAGTGAACCTATGACAACTGAACCTAAGACAACCGCACCCATGACAAGTGAACCCACAGACAAGTGACCACACTGACAAGTGAACCCATAGACAACTGAACGCACGACATGTGACCACAAAAATAATAAAATTGAATAGAATTAGTATTAAATTTTAAAATTCCGAAACGCCTAGAAAATGTACTTAAATTTTCTACTGATTAAATACATATGAATAATATGATATACATTTTTATAATTAGTTTCATTGGTTAATAAATTAACGTTAAAAAATAATTCTACTCTGCAAAGCATTGCGGCTTAAAAAAATAATTTAAAAAACGAGTAATAATATAGTTGGCAAATTATTTTGGTTTTGCAATTAGAATTAGAACGAGTTATTTGTTCTTGTCAAGAAATGTCTTCTTACGGACCGTCTCAGTCTCAGTGCGACTCTGATAATGAAATGTATTCCTTATGTCGCCTTTAATATGAGCGTACTGCCCAATGCTAACATCGACAGTATCGGCGTAAACAAGTAGGCCCTAGCCCTAAGCTTAATTTTAAGTATTCTTTCCATATTTTGAAATTCGGTTCTCCGCTACTATACAAAAAATAAAGTGGTCTTTTTACATTTTTACCTGCCTCAAGACATACTTTCCAGAGGCATACCATACTATTCGGGATATTTTAAGAGTGTTGATTTTTATTGATTTTATTAATTTATAATTGAATTGATGCTTTGCTCAACTATGCGAAATAAATATCGTCTAACAAACGTGTTTAGTAGAGTTATATTAAGTTAGAATGAATATAAATTAATGTATTTGCGGACTTTTTTATTTATTACCCGGTATTTTTTCCTATAATTTTTTAACTTCCATGAATTATCCCATTACTATTAATTTATTGTATAGAAAAAATAGACAACGTACAGTTTAGATAATGAAACCAAGAACCCTTATTAAAGTCATTTTTTATCCTAAATAAAAAACAATAAAGCCTAGACTCCTCCCTTTTACTGTGTTATAAAGTTATAGTATAGGTTGATTAAAGTAAAGTGTCTGGGAACATGCTACCATTTTTAGTTATTACCCTAACACCACTTTAATGTAATCTCTTGGTAATCAAAGGCCCACTAAGAATAGGATGACATTATTTTAATAAGTTATAGTTGATTAAAGTAAAGTGTCTGGGAACATGCTACCATTTTTAGTTATTACCCTAACACCACTTTAATGTAATCTCTTGGTAATCAAAGGCCCACTAAGAATAGGATGACATTATTTTAATAAGTTATAATATAGTTTCTATAATATGTATAATATAATGGGTTTTTTAAATATTGTTTAGGCATATTAACAAGAATAAATCATCTTGTGTTTGTAATGGTAATCTACGTTGTAGTGTTAATTTTATTTATAAATCAAATAAATTTTAATTTCACATGTTTTTTTTTGAGTATTTATATTATATTGTGATTATTAAGTTACATATTAACTATTCTTATGCTGAAACTGAAGTCCAGTACAAGTTCTAATTTATATATTATTTATATTATACATTCAAGTATTATACAAAAATGCATACTAGTACTAGTTCTTAGAAATATTTGTTCAGTTTGCATAGTGTTAGTATAGTATAATAAAGACATAAAGTTAAGTAGATAGATCAGAGAGCCATGCACAGTGACAGTATTGTCAAAGATCTAATTCAACAAGTAATTACTGAATCATTTTAATTTTACTATTTAGCTAGTGTAAACTCAAGGATTAGTGGGCTAGTATTAGTATGTTACAGTATTTAAAAAAACTTAATTCTTGTTTGTATTAAAAATATTTTAAACAAAATAAATTCAATTATATTTTTACCACAAAACTATTAAGTCAATATCCAAGTCTATTGTATAAGTTTAAGAACTATTCTTATAAGTTTATAAGTTGTAGTCAATCCATGATTTATATTTGTATGGTGAAATTTTGGCAAATTTATATTACACAAGATACATATTTATTTTTCATGGAATGTTTGACTATGGTTTATGTGAGATAATGAAGAATTTTGTTTAATTAAACTTTGAAACTTTTATTTATTTTTATTTTTCATACTTACTACTTCGTGAAATTTTTGTCAAAATGACTTGTCTAATTTAGTACTCTTAATGAAGTCAATGGGATAAAAAGTGCTCAACAATTATTTTATAATTTTAAAAAAAAATTATTATAAACTATACAACAAATTAAAAAGAAAATTGAAAAAAAAAGGAAGAATGCGTATCATTATATAGAATATGTTTATTATCAAATATAATATCTGAATTCATGAAAAATAACTCTGAATAATGAATTTTAATTCTGCACAAGTAAGCTATCTTATCATGTTTATTTTCATATCCCTGAACTGCTAATGCCACCTGATCATCTAGAAGTGCATATTTCTTCTTTTTTTTCTGGTTGATCCATTTGTGCTTTTGCCAAAGTGAGCCTATGACAAGATATATCCTTCTGAAGGCCCTCAAATAAACTCCAGATACTTGGATGGCTGCAATGAAATAATGCATTTAAGCCATTGTGAAATCCTTCACAACAATTAGTAGTTTTTGGTGACCTTTCCATAGCAGCATCATATTGATTCCAAATTTTGATTGGAAATTGTGGCTCTCTACCTATTGCACCTTCAATGTAAGTTGAAAAAAAATAGGTCAGAACTTCATTATACCTTCCATCATCTGGGAATGTTGCAGCAAGAGTATCAAACACAGCTCTCACATCATTTATGGGTACAAATGCTAAGGCTGCCAGAGATTTTAGTTTCAATTTAAGTTCAATGTCTGCCTCAAAATCAGATTTTAGGCCAACACAACTAATTTTTATTATCAAATTCTGGCATAAGTGAAAATAACAACCCTTAACCTCTGCGCTTGGGAAAGCTGTAAGAACTGCTCTCATACAGGCTTTTTCAAAATCTTCCAAAAATTTTTGAGGGGATAAGTTTGGCAAAAGTTGTTTCAAAATTTCACACATGTTGGTATATGTTTGAAGGTTTTTTCTTTGCAAAAGAAAATATATGCATGGAGGGTAAGAATTACAAACTTTCGCATGCCATGTGTAAAGTTGGTAAAACAATTTTGGCACCTTGTCAAATGTTCCATCCCCATACATTTCATCCTTATCCAATTCAAGTAATAAAACTTTATTCCCAATTGCTAGAATTCTGTTTGGATCATAGCTTCCTGAGTCATATAGAGTTAAATGAAGATATTTTTGGTGGGATGTCAAAACTGGAAGTAGTTGGTATAGGAAAATGCTCCTCGTTTCTGTGTCGAATTAAAGTTCTAGTTAGGGATGATTGCTTGGGAATATGCTGCAGGACATCGTTGCTAAAATTTATTAGCACATTACCTATAATATTTTTAGGTGTTGCACCAATAGCCTTAATACTTTCTTTTATTTTGCTTACAGCAATGTTAGCCTTGGCTTTTTGTGGACAAGAATCATGGGTGTGTGTTGTTGGCTCTGCAATAACATTATTTTTATGTGTTTTTATAAACACCGTGCAATCATACTGTCTGCATCTCCACGGCATCACATCACTGTCTTTGCTTTCTCTATGTTTAATATATTCAAATCCTTTGTGTACCAATACCAAATTTCCTCTTTGAGTCTTTGAAAATTCCATAGCCATTAGGGAAAGCTTAAAAAGAACAAAAATATAACTAAATATTATTTTAATGAAAGGAAAAAATAAAATAATGTTAATTCATGAACTGATTTTTAAGGATATATGCATCTTTGATTTAGACTTATCCAAAAAATAAAGTACTCAAAGGCATTTTTAATCAACCTGTTAGGACACAAATATCTTCCCTAAGAGTAAAAAAAAAGTATGGAATGCTTTGAATTTCATCACTGCTAGTAGAGGTGGCAGATACATTTCCTGAATAGAATGGAACTTAAAATCATTTCTATTATATAATGTTTGTCAACCTATAAACATTTATAACAACATTTTAAGAATCAAGTACCAGGATATCAGTCTTTTGGCATTAGGCAGGTAAAATCTTGGCATTTCAGTTGTTTTCTTATTAGTAAATATGATCATAATTTATTTCTTAAGATTTATCACAGGCCATACTACCAAAGTGCTACAGGTTATACCAGTGGTCGGCAAACTCAATAATCAAAAGAATAAATTAGCAGCAGCAGGACGGTTAAAAAATTTTTTAGAGCCAGATTTTGTTTCAAGAACCTGTAAAAAAAACATGTTTTTCTGGGTCAAAACCGATTTTGAAGACGACTGGCCGAGCCGCCCTCCGGTCACTAAAGACCAGCATGCGGCTCTTGAGCTGCGATTTGTCGACCAATGGGCTATTATAACTATCAGTATCAGCATATGCCTTTCTTAAAAATACAATTGAAAATATAACTAAATATAACTACATTTATTTATGATAATATAATGTCACATATGCTATAGTAAAAATAAAATAACTTACAACAATTATTAATTTTGTAAAAGACGAAATTATAATATTTTTTCTTCGTTTATTTTATAAATTATGTAGGTACTATTTTTAGAAGCCTAATCGTTTTGAAGAGTGCTTATGACTCAACATAAACACATGATTTATAAGACACCTATGAATGAGACACCAATAAAAAATGATTTTCAATTCAGTGATGAGAATGCTCAATGATGAGTGACCACTTACACTTTTCATTTATTTATTAATCCAATTTAAAGTGATGGTGAGGCTATGGCCTAAAGCTATAAACTAAAAAGCAACATTGGAAGTAGAATAATTTACAGGAATAATGATTGTGAAAATACTCACTTTTATTAGTGTTGCGCTTTTGGTCCAAAACTTTAGGGAGGAGGGCTCTTGTTCGTACTTTTCCTTTGATAAAACTTTGTTGCCGCGCTTTCTCAGACTAAAGTTTCAGGTTTTGTTGTATTTGTATAATTCAGCATTAGAACATCTATACATTGTATGTTTTCTAGACATTTCGGCTTTTTTACATTATCCTATTTAATTTTTTATATTTTTTGTGGTCACCTGTCGTGCGTTCGGTTGTCTATGGGTTCAGTTGTCAGTGTGGTCACTTGTCTGTGGGTTCACTTGTCCGTGGGTTCACTTGTCATGGTTTCGGTTGTCTTGGGTTCAGTTGTCGTGGGTTCACCTGTTATGCGTTCAGTTGTCCGGTCACCGTTTTCTTGTATAATCATCGGTCATTTTGCCTTGTTTTCTCTCATAATCATTATGAACTTTTGCCTTGTTTTCTGTTGTAGTCATTGGACTTTTAGCCTTGTTATAATCATTGTGACCTTTAGCCTTGTATTCTTTTATAATTATTGTGACCTTAAGCTTTGTTTTCTGTTATAATCTCTGTGACCTTTGATCTTTTTTGTTTGTTACAATCACTGTGACCTTCGTCCTTGGTGTCTGTGAGATTCATAGCGCGGATGCATTTTCTGAGAAACTGTTTTCATCAATGTTCCTCCGATTCTTTTTTTTGTTTTTGTGTAGTTGTTTTTTTTGGCCTCTTGCAACAAATCTCTTTTTCATAATTTGCTATTTAATGATTAATAAGAGTCATTAGAAACTCTTCAGTCAAACTACTTTATAGACTTAATGAAACTAATACACGGAGCAATGACTTTGCTTTCTCGGTGCGTTTTATTTTACGTTTACGTAGAATCCTATCGTATGGTCTTGGAACTTTTCAATATCCTCCACACATCAACAATTATGAAACAGATTAAACTGATTTTTAAGCCATTATTTCGGTGGTTTATTGTGCTAATGGTGCTATCGGCTAAAATTATTTCTTTGATGAAGTATTTGTATTTTAAAAACTTTCTCAGAGTTTCTATGACCAAGAGAGTCTGAACAATGAGAACGAGTTGGCCATGACCATCATCTCCATTGTGGGACTGAGCCTGTCTATTATAGGACTCTCTTTGTCGATTCTCTCCTTCCTTCTCATCAAGTAAGTCTTGAAACTTCAAATCAAGGATAATTTCCAGAGGAAACTAAGCAATTAACCTTTCCCTTATTTTTACCGCATACCTTTGTAACATTTTTACTTTTATTGCACACACAAAAAAACTAGTCAAGGAACAATGTTCCCGCTAAGGTTTGTTGGTTCGTGTGCAAAATCAAAAAGCTGTGTGCAAAGTTTTACAGCATCAATTTTTTTGTGTGCAAAATTTTAAAGCCCACGGACACAAACACACACTTACATGGAAATTTGCTTCGCGGAACTCAAAACTACTTCGCGGAGTCTGTGCAGCTTAACGGGAACATTGTCCAGGAATTAACGTCATGATTACTGTGATAACCATTATTAAATATATTAAAATGATTTTTTTTTAAATTCCTCAAATAAGTATTTGTTACGTTGTTCATTTATTGACTTCTAAAACTATATTAAAATAGAATATATCTTTGCAGACTTGTGCGGCAAGGCCGGCCTCAGCAGACACTGTTCCAGCTGTGCCTGGCACTCCTCATGTCCTGGGTCGTGTTCCTGGCCGGAGTCACCCAGACATCGTCCCACGCTGGATGCATTGCTGTGGCAGTACTGCTCCACTACCTCATCATGTCGTCCTTCATGTGGATGTTGATGGAGGGAATCATGCAGTATCTGCTCTTTGTCAAGGTCATGAACACATACTTCTCTCATTATATGTGGAAGACATCCATACCAGCATGGGGTACGTTAGACATCCATACCAGCATGGAGTACTTTAGACATCCATACCAGCATGGGGTACGTTAGACATTCATACCAGCATGGCGTACGTTAGACATCCATACCAACATGGGGTACGTTAGACATGCATACCAGCATGGTGTACGTTAGACATTCATACCAGCATGGGGTACGTTGATTGTGTCATTAAAACACTTCTCTGTGTACCCCCCCCTGAAGCTGTCAACTGCTTCCCCCATTCGGAGAAATATAGATACCAAAATAAATAGAAAATATTTTTTAAAAATTATAATGACGTGGTCATTTTCATACATTGTTATAAAGAGTAGTAATTGGTAACTTTCACCTGGGTATAAAAAATACCTACGTCACCGTATGCTGACCATAAACACCACGTATAGTAATATAAAAAAATACCTATGTCACCGTATGCTGACCATAAACACCACGTATAGTAATATAAAAAAATACCTATGTCACCGTATGCTGACCATAAACACCACGTATAGTAATATAAAAAAATACCTATGTCACCGTATGCTGACCATAAACACCACGTATAGTAATATAAAAAAATACCTATGTCACCGTATGCTGACCATAAACACCACGTATAGTAATATAAAAAAATACCTATGTCACCGTATGCTGACCATAAACACCACGTATAGTAATATAAAAAAATACCTATGTCACCGTATGCTGACCATAAACACCACGTATAGTAATATAAAAAAATACCTATGTCACCGTATGCTGACCATAAACACCACGAATAGTAATATAAAAAAAAAAGACTGATATAGTTGGAGAACTCTTGAACCCACGAAAAAGCACAATGCTTGATATGTTTGATTGGATGATTCGAATAGTTTAAGGCAAATCTAGATACAAGATCGGATTCTAAAGTCTATATTGTTCCGAATATAGCGCCCACTCCTCATAATATGCAGCACCATTTCTCCCGTTGTTCACATTTTTTTAGAAATTGTTTTTTTGTGTGTTTTTTTTTTTGTGTTTTTTTTTAACAACCCTATCTTAAAGACGTGCATCATGCGTAAAGGTACGGCCTATACGCTTAACACTACTTTATTAAATGACCCTTCAATATATATAATGGCCTTTTCTTTTGAAATATATCTTACTACGTATCCAACATTTGCATTATTTTTTTACATTTCTAGTTCTTCACACAATGGTATCAACTTTGAAACTTGGAAATATTTAGGAAAGTTAATTTTCAAGCTTGATTTTTGAGACACGCACATTTTTCATAAGGAAATAAATATCTGAATGGATTTATTTAAAAAGTAGTGTAACGAAATAAATGGTTTCAATAAGGACTATAAAACAAGATGACTGTTGAATAACAATATAAATAAAGTATTTGTGTAGACACAAGCATTCAAGAGACACCTACATGTTGACTTTATCTCTAGTGATGCTCTTCGATAAAGTATTGGTGTAGACACAAGCATTCAAGAGACACCTACATGTTGACTTTATCTCTAGTGATGCTCTTCGATAAAGTATTTGTGTAGACACAAGCATTCAAGAGACACCTACATGTTGACTTTATCTCTAGTGATGCTCTTCGATAAAGTATTGGTGTAGACACAAGCATTCAAGAGACACCTACATGTTGACTTTATCTCTAGTGATGCTCTTCAATAAAGTATTGGTGTAGACACAAGCATTCAAGAGACACCTACATGTTGACTTTATCTCTAGTGATGCTCTTCAATAAAGTATAGAATCTCTAGGGATGCTCTTCAATAAAGTATAGAATCTCTAGGGATGCTCTTCAATAAAGTATAGAATCTCTAGGGATGCTCTTCGATAAAGTATAGAATCTCTAGGGATGCTCTTCGATAAAGTATAGAATCTCTAGGGATGCTCTTCAATAAAGTATAGAATCTCTAGGGATGCTCTTCAATAAAGTATAGAATCTCTAGGGATGCTCTTCGATAAAGTATAGAATCTCTAGGGATGCTCTTCGATAAAGTATAGAATCTCTAGGGATGCTCTTCAATAAAGTATAGAATCTCTAGTGATGCTCTTCGATAAAGTATAGAATCTCTAGGGATGCTCTTCGATAAAGTATAGAATCTCTAGTGATGCTCTTCGATAAAGTATAGAATCTCTAGGGATGCTCTTCGATAAAGTATAGAATCTCTAGGGATGCTCTTCAATAAAGTATAGAATCTCTAGTGATGCCCTTCGATAAAGTATAGAATCTCTAGGGATGCTCTTCGATAAAGTATAGAATCTCTAGTGATGCTCTTCGATAAAGTATAGAATCTCTAGGGATGCTCTTCGATAAAGTATAGAATCTCTAGGGATGCTCTTCAATAAAGTATAGAATCTCTAGGGATGCTCTTCGATAAAGTATAGAATAAAGAACAGCTAACTTCAGGTCTGCGCCGAAATGTATTCCTTTCATCATGGAGTTTCTTGGGGAGGACCTCAATGAGTCTCCTCTTAAGATCTCTTCCCCACTTTCGCTCGGGAGCCTTCAACGCTTTCAATTTCCTCGTCCCCCCCCCTCCACCACGCCGATCAGTGTGGAAGTGCGTTGCAGAAAATAAGCTTGTGCAAAGAGAATAACTGGAGATATGCCTCAAGCCGAGTTAATAATACCTAATTTTCACGTTGATAGAGGAAATGTCAGCCACCCCACCTCAACCCCACCTCACAAAAAAGGGGGGAACCTGAATTGCCCCCCTAAGCCCACCCCTCTCCCCCCACGTATCAAATGTCTCAAACAAATAATGAGCTTAGATAAACGCCAAAAAAATGCACACGTAAAGCCCCTTTTCATACACCTCCCCTTTTTTGCTCAAGAGACATCGATTTCTGCCCCCCCCCCTTAGCATGCCCACCTCAACAAATGCTATGCCGGCCCCCTAGGTGACGAGTTGTAAGGAACACGAGGCACGTCTGACATTCATACCAGCAGTAGCCGGACGTCGGGCTCTTTTATTTATTTGTTTAAAATACATATTGTAAAAGCAACAACAAGGTCGGAATTTGCCCACAGCTTTCACAAGTAATATTTTATAAAAATCCCAGTGTTTATATACATTTATATTATAAATGCCAATTTTAAGTTTTAGATTCATTAATTATTATAGAGACCTTTTTTTTTTCTCTCTTAAACATTGTTTTGTGTCAGTTTGCCATCTGCAGAATTAAGCTTGGTTTCATCAAAACGTAAAGATTTCACCTAAAATTCTAGCTTGTGGTCTGGACTTCAATCCCCAGACTAGACCAGCCAAAATAAAAAAACACTAGCACCCCGTTAACCTTGGATGGGAACTCTGAAATTTAACCAAAGGATGGAGTCCGGTATGCGCTATGGCATGGACGCAATGACAATTCGGACAACTCCTGCCACGTTGAAAGCAAAGAGAGCACAATGAAACACACGAGACACACTGATGGGCATTAGTATCATCCTGGTCAATTTCCAGTCACGGCTACTACTCAAGGGGTAGCCTTGGTCATCTTCGCATGGGAAGGACGAACTAGATGTATCTATAGGGGCACATCCAGAATTTAAAATAGAAAAAAAAATTTAGTTCACACTTGTAAGACTTTTACATAATCGCTTTAAAGGATTTTCTAATTCGTGAATCATTCTATTAAATTTAACGAATTTTTTAATCTCACCCTCAGGTTTACCTGTCATCCCAGTTGCCATTGTCTTGATCATTGATCCTGATCTTTATAAAGGTGGAAACAAATAGTAGGTTTAACATTTTATTTTGTTTTAATAAACGAGTATTATTAATAATGTGTTTAATAGATTTTCTGTCTATTCTGGAAAGCCGTGGAATAGTTCTGCATTCAAAACAAAATAATCTCTACATAATGTTCTGCATGAACAGATTCAAATCATGGCACCTTACTAAAAACATTAAAAATCTATTTGTTAGAAAACCCGTCTAAAATTAAAGATATTGGTCGTGTCAACCTTGGTGGCTACGATATTGTGACTCACAAATTAACCTTAAAGAACTTAAATTATTCACCGAAGCTGCCTAAAAGTTATTTAATTTGTGTGCGTCTGTTTATCTAGTCCCAAGTACTCACATTCTCTCATTCACACCCCCAGCTGTTGGATGTCGCTGCCTGCCTTCTACTACAGCTTTGTTATCCCCGTTGGTCTGATCGTCTTGACCAACATCGTCATTTTTATCGTGGTTGGGGTCAGCCTGTGCCGTAGGAAGGACATGAGCAAACACACATCGATGAGTCGGAGTCAGACTGTCGTCAACATACGGGCTTCGTTCATCTGTTTTTGTGTGCTAGGTGAGTGCGGTTAAATAAGAGGTAAATGTAGAAGTTGAATAGGGGAAAGTTCTAGCGGTAAAAACGGATAGACCTCTTCATTGGTGGTAAAAAGGAGTGATTACAGGAGTAAATGAGGAATAACTCTAGCAGTCAATCAGAAATACCCCCCCCCCTTTTGCGTAAATGAGCAACTCCCTAAGTAATTGAAGGATAACTTCCTAAGTAAATGAGGAATAATTTTGGAGATAAAGTATCTTACATTAACTTTATTGCCCAAAGTAAAAAATGTATGTGGTATTTTCTTAACAATTTTCTGCATACGTGCCATGCATTTTAATAAAAAAAAATTATTGGAATGCTCGCTTATCATATGCAAGATAATGATTGAAATAAGTTATTAATATTTCAATATGTAGCCCGAATGCAAATTTGGCTCAGTTATCTCTTCTCTTCATTGTTGTCTATTATATAAAGTAGATTACCTTTCTTCTCCAGGCACAAATATATCATAATACAAACATTTTTAAAAGGAAATTGTATGCATATATGACACTACGACCTAAAATGCTATAATAAGATACTAGCGTATTTATTTCTACTTATTGTCTTTAATAACATCTCACAATATTTTTTATCAACCGTTTCAGGTCTGTCCTGGATATTTGGCTTCCTGGCCATAGATGACGCCCGCATTGTTTTCCAGTACATGTTTTGTATATCTGCGTCACTGCAGGGATTCGTCATCTTTGCCATGATGACTGCACGGGATAAAAATGTCCGTGCTTTCTGGCTGTCAAAGATTTGTCTTTGCTGTACCAGAACAGAAAAAAGAGGTAGATATAGCATTCCGGGTCAGCTTTACATTCATTCAAACTAATACCAATAAGTCAGCTTTCTAGAAGAGGCTTACAATAATTCCAACATTACCATGATTGATACCAATAAGTCAGCTTACTAGGAAAGAGCTATAATCATCCTAACATTACCATGTGTGATACTAATAAGTCAGGTTTCCTTTGTGGTCAGTGTTCAGTATGTACTTTAGTTGTTCAGGCATTGCTGAATTATCCATGTGATCTGTATATAGTAAGTACTGTAGTTGTTAAGGTATTGCTGACATATACTTTGTAATCAGTGTTCAGTATGTACTTTAGTTGTTCAGGCATTGCTGAATTATCCATGTGATCTGTATATAGTAAGTATTGTAGTTGTTAAGGTATTGCTGACATATACTTTGTAATCAGTGTTCAGTATGTACTTTAGTTGTTCAGGCATTGCTGAATTATCCATGTGATCTGTATATAGTAAGTATTGTAGTTGTTAAGGTATTGCTGACATATACTTTGTAATCAGTGTTCAGTATGTACTGTAAGTAACCATCTACTATTTTAACACACCAGGATTTTTATTAGAATTTAGAGAAGGTGTTACGGTAATGCTGACTTATCCTTGTGGTCTGTGTTTAGTATTTACTGTAGTTGTTAAGGTATTGCTGACACATACTTTGTGATCAGTGTTCAGTCTGTACCGTAGTTGTTAAAACATCGCTGGCTTATCCTTTCTGATCAGTGTTTAGTATGTACTGTAGTTGTTAAGGCATCGCTGACTTATCCTTTCTGATCAGTGTTTAGTATGTAGTGTAGTTGTTAAGGCATTGCTGACTTATCCTTTTCATCAGTGTTCAGTATGTACTGTCATTAAACATCTACTATTTAAACCCCTCAGAAACAGGAAGTGCCACAAAGTCGGGTGCTTGTAATTTAGCTGCCATGTACAGTGATGAGTCAAAGTCACGTGACTCAAACTCCAAAGACAGGAGTGGCGACAACACCATCTCTGGAAGTGTCAGTGACAGCCCAGAGTCCGTCACAGCACCAAGGCTATAATTGTCAGTGACAGTGCAGATGCAACGACAACACCATCTCTACAACTGTCAATGACGTGGTACCGACATTTCAGAAAATTGATTTTAAATTTGGATCTTCTGTTTTGGGATATATTTTTTTTTTAAATTGAGTTTTAAAAAATATTAACACTTTTAAGATTCAGGAAATATGGAAACGAAATATTGATTATTAGATTTTTTTGTCATTGTCATAATTTCAAAGACTGACAGAGTTTGCCAATAAAGCGTTTTCATGTCTTTGGATTCAAGCTTCCACATAACTCGTAAAACTGTTTCCTTCACACAGCTTGGACGCGGTCCTTCAAAAATCAACAAACAAACATTATAGTGTAAAAATGAAAATTTAAGCCCATGCTTGCCTTAACGATGTTATGGATGCGACAATGTAAAGATGAATGTTTTAACATGTTTGAGACAAAAAGCGTTTAGCCATCGTTAACGGAGTCAGTATTAGTCACAAGAACTAGAACTTAGCTAGGGCAGGCCCAAAGACACACATAAATGATTCTTCGCATTAAGATTCACCTAAACATCCTCCATTTTAGAAAAAAACATATTAATGAGACACAGACATGCAGAATTAAAGAAAACCTTTTCTTGTACGATTCACAGTGTGAATTACATCTGCGTTTGTCAAAAGTGTGGAAAATCATTGGAGGAGGAGACCGGTCGTGGCCTTGGAGACCGTTTTAGAGGTTATCTGTAAAACTTAAACGAGCATTTTCTCCAGTTTCCAAACATTTCTATAGTGCTAGCCATACTGAAATAGTAACATTGTAGTTACTGGCATCTTGTGTGCAAATAACACACCTAGAGGGAATTTATATGGAAAATAAATTAATAACAGGATTTGATAGGTTAGCTTCATACGGTACAAACCAAATTTCAAAACTTTACATGGCGTCAATGTCATTATTCTGTGTTGTTTTGTAACTTTTCTTCCACCCCCTTTCTTTCCGTGTTTCTGATCTCTGTTTTTGTTAGGTACTTCCGCCCACTCTTAGTCTTTTCTTTCATTTTTAACTAGGAGACATGTACATATGTTATGCACATTTAATTTAAACTTATATGATTTTTTTTTGTTGTTTTACCGATGAAGGCATTTGCCGAAATGGTTACATTAAATGTAGAATTTGTGTTGTGTAAAATCATTACTAAACCTCAACCTACATTGTTTTATTTACGCTCATTGTTCATGTCTCAAACTTTAAATATTTATCGCAGTCAAACCCTTTTAAAAGACACATCCGTGTATCTTTCACCTAAAAATATACACTTCATTATCTTCTTGTCAAAAGATGTACATATCAAACTTTCATTCCTTCGAAAAACACTCAAGATGTTCTTTCTTTTAAGAGACATACACTGTAATCTTCCCGTCAAATGATATATATATTTATATATTTAGCAGACGTTCATTCCTTCAAAATACCCTCAAGATGATCTTTCTGTCAAAAGAAACTCAATATTATATTCCCCTTAAAGATACATCAGATAATCTTACCGTCAAAAGACGAACCATTGTGCTCGCCGTTCTAAAGACACAGAGGATGAAATTCTCGTTGTGAATAGCAATTGTTGTCAGAAGGAAAAACAGTTGAGAAATGACAATCCCAATGACTCCCACTCTTAGAGCAAGACGTTGCGATGCTTAGTTTCCACCTAGAGGATTCCATAAAACTTACAACTTCAGTTCAAAATTGACGTCACCGGTCTCATTGATCTGAGTGATTAAATGCATGTTAAATTTGTGAACTTTTACAATGGACGGAATCGCATTTTTTTCCACCTCCACTAAGGAAACAACTCAGGCGATAACATTTGATGATTATAATCTTGTTCTTTATTAGGCTGACACTTAGCTTATACTTTCTCTCATCTCGAAACTCTGACTGCCCTCTTCTCATACCGTCAGAGCTCTCCCTGACTGTCTGCTTCTCTGTCCAGCCGCGTTCTCTCCAGTCCTGTCCAGGGGTCCCTATTTATAAGTCCCTGGTTCATAGAGTTCCTTCCCAGGTCTGTAATCTGACGCGCCCGGCGCTTTGATCAGTCGGTCGTGGTCCGAACTCTCCACAATATTATGTGGGCTCCAGTGAATGAGCTTAATTAGTAGTCCTCAACAACCACTCCACGGGCTCGTGCCAGCCAGCAGATGTTTCCTGTCGGTCTACGGTCTGGTGCAAGCCAACAGGTGTTTCATGTCGGTAAACGATCTGGTGTCAGCCAGCAGATATTATCTGCCGGACCATGAAATTTTTTTTAACCATAATATAAAAATATTTACGTCTGCAACGAAGTATAGCGGGACACATTAGCGTAGGAAGCGGGGCTAAATATTTAGGAGCAGCATTTGTGAGAAAACTGCAGACTTCATCTTGAAGGAGGACGTCATTATTAGCTGCACGACCAGAGTGACACCACCCCATCCCCTGGTTAACCAGTCAGTGTCTAACTGCGTAATCGTATATCAGCTTCTCTTTTATCAAGTTGGCTTAAATCAGTTAGTCTTAAATCAGTTTGTGTAATATAATTTTGTCTTGTATCAGGTTGTCTTATATCAGGTTGTCTTATATCAGGTTGTCTTATATCAGGTTGTCTTATATCAGGTTGTCTTATATCAGGTTGTCTTATATCAGGTTGTCTTATATCAGGTTGTCTTATATCAGGTTGTCTTATATCGGGATGTCTTATACTATGTTGTCTCGTGTAACTTTGTCTAGTATCAGGTTGTCTTATATCAGGTTGTCTTATATCAGGTTGTCTTATATCAGGTTGTCTTATATCGGGTTGTCTTATATCGGGATGTCTTATATCAGGTTGTCTTATATCAGGTTGTCTTATATCAGGTTGTCTTATATCAGGTTGTCTTATATCGGGATGTCTTATACTATGTTGTCTCGGGTAACTTTGTCTAGTATCAGGTTGTCTTACATCAGCTTGTCTTATATGAGGTTGTCTTACATCAAGTTGACTTATACCAGACGCAATGTTACCGCCCACTGGCTAAGTCAAACTATTGTATAAAGGAATTGTGTTTCCATAATAGTTTTAACCCATTAGTGCACTTGTCATTTACTGATGTACCCACCTTTTACTACTGGTGCCCTTGTCATTTATTGATTTGCTTGTCATTTATTGATGCACTTGTCATTTATTCATGAACTTGTCATTCATATATATATTTGTCAATCAATGATGTACTTGTCATTTATTAAAGTACTGAGAGTTTAATCTTATCTTTCAATTTGTTTTTTTTTTTAATTGTAAGTTAGTTGTAAGAGTGATTTTCCTAACCTTTAGACCTGTAGTTATTGGTTGTTCAAAAGACTTCTGGGGATAGTTGTTTAAAAAAATAGTTTTTAAATCTATTTGAAAATGTTGAGCTCTAGCGTTTATTTCCAAATGCAGATCTTTTGTAAAGAGATGACCGCGGCAGTGTAGAGAGGTGCCCATAATTAGACATACACAAAAACATATAACTAGAACCCTTATTGGAATTATAATGTCACATTCATTTCATCAACCCAAATACCATGTTCATTACTGCTTAACTTAATTGGGCTCTTGTTCATGCACATTAACTTTCAACCCTATGCAGAAAAACAACAGGTTTCTAAACAGTAACAGTTGTCTATACCCAACACTAGGTAGATTCTAGGATGCTACTATGATAATGTTCAGTCTGTAGTCAACTTTTTTGTTTCTTTGTTTTTTCGTCTAATTAATCATTAGAGTCTATTGTCTGAATATGATGTGTTCCAAGAATTTCATTTTAGATTATAACAATATTGATGCAGGTGAAAATAAAATTTGAATGAAGACCATGTGCAGCTGGCGTCTGTGGCTTGAGATTCATTTAAATTGATGGACGCCGTTTGTGGATTGTCTTTTGACGTCTTTTGTGGATTGCTCTTAAGCTTATGGGCGTATTCTGTTGATATTCCTTAAAATGTATGGATTTATTTGTGTATAGTCCTTACGTTTAACAATCCCTTTTGTCGATAGTCCTGGCGTTATGTAGGATCTTTGTTGGCAGTCCTTAGGTTTTAAACAGTTGATGTCTGTAAATGTATCCAAGAGACTGCAAGTGAAATTGTTTAAATTAAATATTTGTAATGTTCTTAAAAATTGAACATTTATTCTTGTTTTTCTTCACTATGTAACATAATCACAAAATGCTTAATGCAAACGCACAGCATTGCTCTATACGCCTGTGGTGTGACAGTACACTCATGACAACGTTACAGGATAGGTAAGTGATGGTCCAGCGAGCACAGCCGAGAAACGTCACCTTCAATGGAACTTGATGTGTGATTAATATCAACCAGGATCTACCATTCGGGGAGAGATACACATCTTTAACCTTATGGGTCTGTGCAGTATTGTACCAGTATTGTACCGGTATTGTAAGAAAAGGTAAGTCATCGGATTGTAAATAAAAATGCCTCATCATTAGCATTGGATTAGTTTTAAAGTTACAAGCCATTGGGTAGGACAGGGTAAAAAATGTTATGATAAGAGCTACTAATAGTAACTAGATTGTATCAAGAAGATATTTGTTGATCGTTTTTACTTTCTTCTGTCATTAAACAATCAAAAGCTTTTAAAACAGCCCAAAAAAAAATCATCAACTAAAGTACGAAGAAAAATATACTTTTTTAGACTTGAATGTGGCCACGCGTGCCATCAGCGACACTGCAGTGTTACTTGATTTATAAACTGAGAAGAGAAACGTTTGTCAACAAATGATAGGGGGGTGGAGGTCTAGAGAACTAAGTAAACATTCCACTCTCTCTGTTTACCTATAAAGACCCATTACGTCAACGCTGGTCTTTTGGTACAAAAGGACAACACTGCCACTTACTTTGGGGATCAGCTGATTGTTTAAATTCCTTAGTCCATGTAGCATTCCTTTAAAAAAAAACAATCGTGTTTAATTATTGCTATGGCATTAAATTGTCGTAAATTGTTCTCAGAGCATTGAATTAGTAGATCGTTATTAAAGTATTCAAACTTTTTTTTTGTATAACTAACAATTTTTTCTACAACTTTGTAAGCCAGCGTTCAGACATTATTTTTAAAGGAATCAAAGCTGTAAAGTTTAACTGATAGTCCCCCCCCCAACCCAACCCCAACAACCTTTTCCATTTTACAAGCTCATGCTTTAGTTAAGGGACCACTTCGGTAATGTAGCCTTATCGTATGCTGCTATGTTTGGACACTCGAAATGTGTAAGAGCTTTGCTGTGTTCTGGAGCACTGTACGATCTGCTCATCAATAGAAATGAATCTCCTATTTACATTGCGGTGAAGAGAAATAAACCGAATTGCTTACTTGAATTTCTTGAATTTTCCTCAAGTATTGATCTTTCAAATCCTCTCATATCAGCGTCGTCTTCTGGACATAGTGAGTGCGGTGAACAATTGATCAAAGGCAATGCAGATTTAGAGGCACATGATGATGATGGAAACACGGGTCTTATTCTAGCAGCTCAAGAAGGACATTTTCAATGCTTAAAAATGCTTTTAGAATCTGGGGCCTCAGTGGACATTGCAAATAAAAGTAGAGTTACCGCTTTGATGAAATCAACGTGTAAGGATCCTCGTGGTGGAGATACAGAGATCAATACTTCTTCCTTGCTTGTCGAGCCTCACAAACAATACGAGAGGTGCACTGAGCTTCTGATAAAACACAATGCAAAAGTTGATTTGTGCGATCTTAAAGGTGACACAGCCTTGCACTACGCCACCAGGATAGATAATTTGCCTTGCCTCCGTGTACTTTTACATGCAAACGCAAATCTTGATGTTAAAAACAATAAGGGTGAAACACCCCTCATAATGGCGGCTCGTATGCAGACGACAGCTGTGTGTGCAATGCCTGAAGCCGGCGCCTCGGTGTCTGGTGTCTTTCATAAAGGCGGGACGGCATTGATGCACGCCTCTAATCAAGATAGTAGAAGATGCGTCGAGATTCTTAGCCGCGAAGCATCCAGCTCGAGCGCTGGTACGAGTAACACGGATAAGAAAAGAGACACTGCGCTTGTGCAGTCTTCAAAATCAGAAAATGTAGCGGCTGTGCGCTTGCTTATTTTGGCCGGAGCTGATCTGAATATTACAAATAATCTTGGAAAAACCGATTTTATAGAACCCGCCCTGAATTTGAACAACGAATCCGTGCAAGTATTGGCAGAAGCGGGGGCTAGTGTCAATGTTCAGAACAGGCGGGGAACAACAGCGTTGATGCATGCCGTAAAAAACAGCCATGCTTTGCTGGACGTACTGTTAGAGTTTGACGTGGACATAAACTTACATGACAGCACAGGCTACACTGCACTTCACATTGCTGTACAATCTCGGAAACTGGATTGCATCGAAACCCTTTTAAGCAACGGAGCCCATATAAATGCCATCAATGCTTGCGGCCAAACCCCTCTGATGCTTGCCATAATGTATGGGTATGATTGTTGCGTTAAACTACTTATGTCACACCGTGCGGATGTCAATACGAGGTGCCGTGAAGGCAAAACAGCGCTGATGTACGCAAGTTCCAAACTTATTTTTAGATGCCTTGAGATTTTGATCAATTGCAATGCCGAACTGAATATTTTCGACAATGAAAAAAAGACAGCTCTACACCATGCTGTTGATAAATGTGATTTCAAATGCTTTCGACTCCTCGTCGAGTGCGGGGCTGACGTGAACATTCTTCATCTTAGTTCCACACCAGTCTTGTTCAAGGCAGCCATTATACATGATTATATTCAAGTTATAACTGATGGGGGTGCCGATGTCAACCTTCGCCATGAGAGCGGAATGACGTATCTCATGCACGCGTCTAAAGTCGGTTGCAATAATTCGGTTCGACTTCTTTTGGAAAAAAAATGCCAGCTTAGACGCAGGAGACAATCGAGGCAAAACTGCTCTGATGTATGCCTCGGCGCAAGGCAATTTTAAATGTGTAATAACTCTTCTTTCTTATGGAGCTTCGCTTGAAGCGACCAGCACTGAAGGACTCACGCCACTTATGTTAGCGGCAGAGAAATCTCAATTTAAATGTCTGTGTTTGCTTGCCCCAGAAAACGCCGACATCCACGCAAGATGCAATTACGGAAACACGGCCTTGACATTTTCAATAAGGTCGGGGAGCTTAAATTGTTTAGAATACCTGATATCGTCAGGGGCTGATGTCAACACAAGCAATAAAGAAGGTGTGACGCCGATAATGTGTGCCGCCCAAAGTGGTCTTGTCAAAATCGTCACGGCACTTATTATAGCCGGTGCTGACGTAAACGCACGGAACTATTCATTGTCTCCAGTTTCAATTGCCCTGTCCAGTCGCAGCAGCAATGTTCTTGAAGAATTATTGAAACATGGTGCGAATGTAGACTCATGTAGTATCGGCCTCACAGACTTCAGCCACCTTGTAAAGACCGACAAGACGGACTGTTTGCGGATGCTGATATCAAATGGAGGTTTGCCTTATTCTGAAGACCTCACCACGGCACCGCAGTCACCACTGATGTCCGCCTTACTTCAAGGAATTATCGGCGTCTGCAATTATTTCATTGTTAATAATTACCTCACTAAAGAAGACTGCAGGACAGGTTTTACCATGGACTTAATCAGCAGAATGCAAAAGGAGTCAAAACTTTTTGTGTCACCGCTTTTCTCTCAGCCCTGGCCTCTCAGTAATCTGGCCCTCGTAGCCACCTCTCATGCCGCCGGTCCAAGTCCGGGACGGACACAGCGAGTGGACAGCCTTCCGCTTCCCAATAAAATGAAAACACTTTTGCTTTACCGAGGCCTGCCGTCGAGGATATGTACGGAGCAATGGGATGACATTTCACTTTGCTTTGATCCACAGGACTACACGAATCTTCCAATTAGAAATCAGTTTCTGTTCAGCTGGCCTGTCGGGCGTGGCTTGGTTTCCTGTGAGTGTGAAGCGTGCGACAAGACTGGCTTTAAGTACGTTGATTCTTAAATTCTTCAGACTACGGACATTTTCATATCTTTGCAACGTAGACGAGCACTTACTAACTGTCCCAGAAACATATGTTTTAAATAACGAGCTGCCGATCTGGAAAGCGGCCCTTGTAATATCACATCGCCAACCATCTCGAAAAGGCCGTGACATCCAATACAGCTGACCCAAATAAAGACAATTGAACATGAGCCATAGTTATTCTATCATATGGGTCAAGCCATTGTACAGGGATAAAAGGCCAGCGAAAGATGTAAGAGTGAAGATGATGATAAGGCTCCTAAATATTGGAATTACAACAACAAAAAAGATAAGATGGAAGACAAACATGATGTGTCGATCTAAAACTATACTGAGACTTATTCAAATTTATCATCATGGGACCACTAGCAATGTTCACGCAGCAATGATAGTTTTTACATATGTGCACAATAATGTCGATGTTTGTTTTTTTACATTTACATGCTATTTTTAATCAATTTTTACACGTGTGCGCTATGTGTTTATTTTTTTTTGTATAACATTTGTGTGCTATTTGTATATCAACTATTTACATTATATCTGTAGATCACATATTTGTTAATTTGTGTCCTATATGTATTTCAAATTTTTACATTTTTGTACTATATTTACATTTATTTTATATTATTTTGTGATATATATATATATATCTATCAATTATATGTATAATTTGTACTTTTTTATGATATTTGTATCTTTCATTATTACACGTGTGTAATGTATGTTTATTTTTAACATTTTTGTGCAAGGGTTTTATCTATTTTGTACACTACTGTCATGCACTGCGTAGGAGATGTATCAGCATTTTTAGAAATCAATGCCTAAAAAACAGAAGCTCGGGGAAAAGTTGATGGCTTAATGAACGATAGATGAATGCTGGACCTCACCAGTGAGCATAGCCTAATTGCGTCATAGAAACGGTTAGAGATCACGTGACACAGTTCCTCTGACGATCGGTTGATATTGTTCTGCCAAATGCATCCTTGTTGTCGTCATAAGTAATGAATAGCCTTTGGGGAATTATGGGACCACCAATGTTGTGCAGGATTATAATTTGCCAATTTTCAGTTACATAATATCACTAGAAAACATCCTCTCATCCTTTTCCCCCAATATATATTGTAAAAAAATAAAGTCTACAATTTCCTGTATATTTTAACATATTCGTTCAATTAAAATTTTACCCAAACCATTTCTTTCCCGATCTATAGCACACGTCAAAGAAAATGGACTGACAAAATAGAGTAAAATGTACTGTTTTATCTTAACTGTTTTATCTAGCTGGCTGCATGGAGTACACTTGGATGACATATTTATTGTAAATGTTGATCTTTGTGTAGGAATGTAGGTGCAATTAAATGGACTACACCTAGATGACTTACTCATATTATATATTGATTTGATGAAGGGATGTAGGTGGAAGTATTAATAGACAACACTTGGATGACTTATTTACTGTATACGTTGATTCGATGTAGAGCTGTAGGTGGAAGTAAATGGACTACCCTTGGACGACTTATTTATTGTATATATTGATTGATTAAGGGATGTATGTACAACTACATGGGCTACACATTGTGCCGTCTTAACTTACACCATTGGCCACGGGGCACTGGCCCGGGGAGCAAAAGGGGCAAAACAAATATCACATTTGAAGTTGTAGTATTTCCATCAAATATGTTTTATTAAATGTCTAGCTACCGGTACATCAGTTTTACAAACAAATTCACATTTAAATGGTCAGTCTCTAGCATGTTTCCGTTTGTGTACACTTACATGAGATTTATAAACTAATGCAGTAAAACATTTCTAGGGTTTCTCTATAATTGATTTAAGATGTTGCTAAATGACCGAGTGTTGTTCTCCACTATTCTGTCTAATTTTGGAGCATTGTTGAGAGCATATCCTCACCCTCTTTATAATTACAAAACTAAATAACTGAATGAAAATTATTATATGCTGTCGGAGAGACAAGTGATTGCTGAATGAAACGACATTAAACATTTACTGTGTTTGGAAAAAAATGTTTATTGTGAAAATTATGTGTGACTAAAGAATGTATAAAGGCTTTGGAAAAGGTTATTCATTTTTTAGATCAATAGAATATTGAGTCGATAGTTATAATGATTTTAACCCATTTTAAAATCCTTTGTATTAACTTCGCTTTTGTTAGTGTGTTAATGGCAAAATCTTCGGACGGCTTAATGACCCGATGCCCGTCAACCTATCGAGCGGAAACTTGGCACACAGACTCGTTGTCAATGACAACACAATCTGTCAAATTTTCAGCCCCACCCACACCACTACCCCCACCCCTAAAAATAGTAGGTTTTCCTGTTTTTAAAGAGAAAGATGAATGAAATATGATGACACTGATTTCACTTTTTAAAATTCCCGATAACTACGCTAAAAAAGATTATTTTATTTATTTTTTATTTTTTTTTTGTTAGATAATATTTTCTTTGGCTTTTCTGAAATAATTGGTGAAATAATTGGTGAAATAATTGGTGAAATAATTGGTGAAATAATTGGTGAAATAATTGGTGAAATAATTGGTGAAATAATTGGTGAAATAATTGGTGAAATAATTGGTGAAATAATTGGTGAAATAATTGGTGAAATAATTGGTGAAATAATTGGTGAAATAATTGGTGAAATAATTGGTGAAATAATTGGTGAAATAATTGGTGAAATAATTGGTGAAATAATTGGTGAAATAATTCAGCTGTGTTGTAAAAGCGGGTGGGTCATTAAAAAAATTAATATAGCTCAGGGGCGGGGAAAAAATGTACAGTTCCCAGCCTTGGGGGGGGGGCACTAAATGGGATTCTTATACGTTTCATAAATCCATGTTTTGTAAAACTTTTCATGATTACATTTTATAAGAATTTATACGAATACTTTGTTTTTAGGGGTCGTTTAAAGCTCCTTCTGCTTCCATGGGCCCACGTTCTGGAACCAGCTCCCTTTCCATATCCGTCATAGTGAAACCTCGTCCATTTTCAAAAAGTCCCTTAAAACTCATCTGTTTAGGTCCGCCTATGACCTGTGATGCACCCTCCTTGCTCTGCCTCATTTTCTGTTTCGGGTTGATCCTGAAGTATAGGCCAAAACGTGTCAAAGTGTCCTCGTTTTATAGCCATTTTCAATGTTTCTATAATGTAGTAGTTACTATCCTAGTGTCTCATTTTTATTTTACTTTGTCTACATGTTTTTAATAATTGTAAAGCGCTTAGAGCTTTATGGTAAGCGCTATATAAAAATGCCTAAAAAAATAAATAAATAAATGAAGAACGAGTACTTTTTTTTCTTTCAATAAATCAGACATCCGCAATATTTGACGTGGCGAGCCGCCAGTTGGCCACACCTGCTTACGGATCTTAAATATTGCACATCAGGAACCGAAATGTGAAAGCGTTGTAAAATTGCTGCTAGCCATAAAATCACTTGTGACATGCATTTAAAGCCTACAGTAGACATGGAGGCGTCCGTCACCCTGAACAAATTCGTGTAACCCTTGTTTAAAATTACTTTGTACATAAACAAACAATTTTAATTGTTGGTACATGATTTACGCTTCGTCGATACGCCACTCCATTCAGTCAAATCTTGTCATAGTATCGTGACATCGCGTAATAACAATAATATTAGTAAAAATAAAAATGACCCTTAGCGTTTGTTAAATATGGACCAGGATCTGCCAGTCCGTGGAGATATTAACATTTTTAATCTTCCTGGTCTGTGCAGTATTGTACCGGTATTGTAGGTACATGTTTGAGGCACAGTGCCTGGTAGCTTGTTTCAATGCCGTGTCCTCTATTCTGATACTGGTCAAATTTTAGCGGTGTATTGTGAAGGCGCTGTGTTATGATAAGAGACGTATCGTTCCCTGGTCTAGGTTCGATGCTGTGTGATCGGTGCGAAGAGATGGTAACTTACAAGGCTCATAAATGTTTGCTGATTTCAGGACATGGTGCTGGCGTTTGTTTTTAATATACAAACATATCGCCCAGAGATTGTCTGCCGCTCTATTTCAAACGATGTCTCTGGTAAGTCATCGGATTGTAAAATTTAAAAAAATGTCTCATAATTACGATTGGATTTGTTTTGTTTTTTTAAATTACAAACCCCAAGAAAAGAGGAATGGGAAATGACGGGGTCAAAATGTGATGCCAATAGCTACAAATATTAATTACATTTTATTTTTAAAAATTATTTCATTACAACTTGTTTATTTAATTTTGAAATTAAACAATTAAAAGCTTTTAAAACATTAAGTACAGGGTAAAGTAACTTATTTTCTTTTTAAACATGAATGTGTCAAAATGTGCATCAGCAAAATTGTGTTGTTACTTTTTAATAAAATGATATAAAAAGAAAGTTGGTCTATTTTTAGCAAACTAGGGGGATAAGGGCGTGAAGATCTAGAAGAGTGAGCAAAAAACAGAACGAGGCGCTGTGTTAACCTTTGAGGACCACTTAGGTAAACGTTTGTCTAATTGTACAAAAGGACAAAACTACAAATTAATTTGGGGATCAGCTGATTATATATTTGATTTATCAATTAACATTTTTATTTTTTTTTTAAACTACCGTGCTCCACTTATTATTGCTAAGGCCTTACATTGTCGTAAATTGTTCTCAGAGTAACGAATTAGTTAGTTGTTATTATAGTATTCCAATAGATTTTTGCATAATTAACAATTTATTCTCAAGTAATGTAAGCCAGCTTTGACGCATTTTTCGAAGGCACTGAAGCCGTACATTTTATCTGACACCCCCCCCCCCTTTTTTCCCCTTTCCACTTTTTTTTTATATTAACACAAAAGTTCATCGAAAACCTTTTGATATATTGTATATAGTTTCACTATAAATGTGATCTGATACATATTTATATTTCTTATTTCAGTTTAACTCAACTGACGCTAATTTTGCAGATTTATTTTATATACACTGGAAATGGATTTTTAAATCCTTGTCATATTTAATGGATATGGGTAAAGATTTCTTATCAACCAGGAAGTTATTCTAGGGAATTCCCAATCAAACATTTCTTACTTGAAGAAGATTCTCAGAACATCACCAAGGAAGTTTGTATAAAAAGGGGGGTTATTTTTTTATTTTGGTGAAATACCCGAAGATGAGTTACAGATCTTTCATGTCGATACACCTAAATACAGCTAAGGAGATAGCGAATCGTCCTGACCTAAATCACTCAAAGTGCACACAATGCTTCATCGGGTCGGAAACCGAAGGAGGAGCCACCATCGAAGATGGAAGAACATTGCTGATGATTGCAGCAGAGAAGGGCCATGTTGAATGCATGAAAGGGTTTCTCACGGCCGGGGTCAATCCCGAAATGCGCTGCATTCAGGGGAAAACAGCCTTAATGTATGCCGTGGAGAATGACAAGCCCGAGTGTGTGGAGTATCTTCTCCAGAACAGGTCTGAGGTGAATAACACAGACAAACAAGGCAACACACCGTTGGCAGTGGCGTCAAGGGCTGGGCATCTGAGCTGTTTACAAATTCTGCTCAGCTACGGGGCATCAGTTCATCAGGCCAACATGGACGGGGTGACGCCTCTGAGTCTAGCGGCGTTGAACGACAAGCATGAATGCTTGAGACAGCTGATCACTTCCGGTGCGTGCGTGAATAGAAAAAGCAAAAAGGGAATCACAGCCTTGATGAACTCGTCCGCTAAAGGGTGCCCGACGTGCATTAGAACGTTACTCAAAGGAAGTGCGCGGGTTAACGAAAGGGACGTGAATGGTGCTGGGGCCCTATCTCGCGCCGCCTCTGGGGGATTTCGAGAATGCGTCGAAGCTCTATTGGAAGGAAGGGCAGACATGAATGCTAGGAATTATCAAGGCGTGAAGCCTGTAATGGCAGCTGGCATGTACGAAAGGCATGAGATTGTGAAACTACTTCAAACATGGGGGACGAATGTAAAAGATAATTCTCAATTTAAAGTACTTCATAAAAAAGTGGACACATGTCCTGAGCTTATAGACACTACCTCAAGCTCGCCTACAATATTAAATGAAAAAGATAAAAAAAATCTTAAACAATCCCAAATTAAAGAGGAAATAGAAGAGTCTGATTTTATTCATGGTGATGCAGATTCAATTCCAACGAAAGAGGACTATGATTTAAAATCTTTAAGTACCAATGGGGTCAATAGGAAATGTGCTTTTGAAAATGGCCGGACAGATCTCATGGAGGCAGCAACTGCTGGGCATGCAGAAAAGGTGCAAAGGTTGCTTGAGAACAACTCAGAAGTGCGTGCCGTAGATGTTTATGGAAACACGGCCTTATCATACGCTGTTCAAAAAGGTCACTTAGATTGTGTTCTAATCTTGATCAAAGCCGGCGCCGATGTTAACAACGTCAATCATAAAGGGATGTCACCAATCATGGAAGCCGCTGCGAACGGTCATGTTGGTTGCGTTCGGGAACTTTTAAACTCCGGAGCCGATGTCACACTGCAAGACGCAGACGGGTCTACATCTCTTGCGCTTGCTGTTAAGAAGGGTTGTTTCCAGTGTGCTCAGATGTTCATCGAGCCATCTCCAGTGATGATAAAAAATTCACTGCAAAGCGAAATGCAGAATAAATACGCCAAAAATATCATCAACCCATGCGTTAACCTTATTGACATCCACGGCAACACCCCGCTCATGCTGGCCACAATGGTGGGAAATGTAAATTTCCTGCGCATTCTGATACAAGGCAGAGCCAGGCTTAACATACAGAACATGCGTCGTGTCACAGCCCTTATGTACGCCGCTAAAAATGGTCACTTGAAATGTTTGAAGGTTCTCGTGCGGGCAGGCGCTGACTGCAATTTAACAGACGATAATGAAAATACGGCGATTCATTACGCTGCCAGGGTGAGCTCAAAATGTCTTAATGTATTGCTGAGAGCTCGCGGTTCACTACCTAAAGTAAACTTGCAGAACAAGATCTTGGAGACGGCTCTAATGAATGCAGCCGAGCATGGTCAAAATAAATGTGTTCGTGCTCTGATTTTATCAGGCGCTGACGTACATATAAAAAACGCTTTCAAAGATACGGCGCTGATGAAAGCGATTCGTGCCGGTCATGTTCCTTGTGTTAAGAAACTTCTTGAAGGAAATTCTCGCGTAAATGTTACGAACGAAGATGGGGATACACCAATAGCGTTAGCGGCAAAGAAAGAAGATTTGGAGAGTTTGAAATTACTGATAAGTTTCAATCCTGCTTTGGACATTGAAAACGTAATGGGAATGACAGCCTTGATGGAAGCTGCTGCTCATTCAAAACCTGATTGCTTAAAATACCTTATTGGGGCTGGATCAGATTTAAACCACAGGAATGGGAAAGGTTTGACGGCACTCATGAAAGCTGTGAGCAAAGGAAGTGCCGAGTGTGTACATGCTCTGTTGGAGGCACGAGCTGATGTTGACGTGGCTGATTGCGATGGAAATACAGCCTTAAGTTACGCAGCGCAGCTTGGGGATGTCTTTCTTTTGGACAGGTTGCTACACTACGGCGCTCTCGTAAACACTGTGAATATCCACGGGGTGACGCCCCTTATGATGGCAGTACAAGGTTCCCGCTCGGATTGCGTTCAGAATCTTATCGCAGCAGGTGCCATCACCGACCTGAGAAGAGCCGATGGGTCAACAGCCTCAAGTGATGCTCAGAAAATTGGAGATTCCAAGTGTCTGGATATTTTAACGGTTGGACAGACCATTTCAGCAAGATTACAAAACGAAAGAAACTCGGCTCTCATTCTTGCCGCTAAGAATGGCGACGTCGGTCTCGTCAACTCACTCCTTGAATCTGGGGCTCTAGCGAATGCTGTCAATGAAGTCGGTGTGTCCCCCATAATGTTAGCAGCATTGTACAATAGGACGGACTGCGTTCAGGCGCTTATCAAGGCAGGCGCCAACTTCGATAGAAGGAGCCAAAAGGGGATGACAGCACTGATGAACGCGTCCAACAGAGGTCATATCCATTGTGTTCGTCTACTGATCGAATCAAAGGCGCGCCTTGATCTCGGAGATCATCATGATTTAACTTCAGTTGCAAGGGCGGCGCAAAGAGGTCATGTGGATTGTTTACTTGCTTTAATTGAAGCAGGTGCTTCTGTCAATCTTGCAAACAAATCTGGTATTACTCCTCTGATGTTGGCCGCGCAGAATGATCAAACTGAATGTATTAGACAACTCATAACTGCCGGATGTGACATCAACAGGCATTGTAAGGCTGGAGTAACTGCCCTTTGTTATGCATTGGGCTCAGGTTTCAATGAAAGTGCGAAGCTTCTGATCGAAAGCAGAGCTGACCTTTACGCAGTCGGTCAAACCAGCACAGCATTAATCGTGGCGTCCAAATCTGGAAATAGTGAAATGTTAAAATATATCCTGGAAGCAGGAGCTGCCATTAACGGACGGGATAATGACGGCCTAACAGCTCTGTCACATGCTGTCATAACTGACAGGCCCGAGTGCCTCCAAATACTTATTGACCAGGGGACTGACGTCAACGGTAGGTCAGTCACAGGGAAAACTGCGTTGATGGAAGCCTCTGAACGAGGTCACTTTTCATGCCTGGAGAGTCTTCTACTAGCACATGCCAGAGTCAATTCAAGAGACCACTATGGTAATGTAGCCTTGTCGTATGCTGCGATGCATGGGCACACTACATGTATTAGAGCTCTTCTCTGTTGCGGAGCACTGAATGAACTGTGCAACAATCAAATGGAGAGTCCGATTTACATTGCCGTAAAGAACAACAAAGCCGACTGTCTGGTTGAATTTCTTGAAGCCAGCTCCAGTACTGGTATGTGCGAAAATGGCAAAGATCTTCTTGTTTTAGCGTCATCGAATGGATATATCAAGTGTGTTGAACATTTAATCCAAAGCAACGCAGATTTAGATGCGCAAGACGATTATGGTAACACAGCTCTTATTCAATCAGCTCAAGAAGGATTTTTTGAATGCTTAAAAATACTTTTAGAATCTGGGGCGTCAGTGGACATTGCTAACAACAAAGGTGTTACCGCTTTGATGAAATCGACATATTTGGACATCTATGATGGTGAAACGGACATCAACGCTTTGACTGTAGAGTGTCAAAGGCAATACATGAAGTGCACAGAGCTTCTGATACAGCACAATGCACAAGTCGATTTGTGTGATAGTGATGGTAACACGGCTTTGCACTACGCCGCAAGGCTAGGTAACGTGCCTTGCCTCAAAATGCTGATACACGCAAATGCAAAAGTTGATTTGAAAAACCAAGAAGGGAGAACACCCCTCATGATGGTGAACACAACCATGAAGGCGGGTGTTTTTTCTGTTATCATTGAAGCTGCAGCTACAGTTTCTACTTTTTGTAATGACAGACTCGTTGAACTATTGAACGCTTTTACTGAAAGTAATAGAAGATATTTGGAGTTACGTCATTGTCAAGGTACTACTATAAATAAAACTGATTCTAAAGCCACCAAGTCGGTTAATGATGCTTTGAAGGCAGGCGATCTCGAGTTTTTAAAAAAACTATCGAGCGCAGAGGTTTTGGTAAACTGTAAACTAGCGAAAGCTGCACAAAAAGGAGACATGGAGAGTCTGAAACTTCTAATATGTTGCAGTGCGGCTTTAGAAATTGAAAACGTAATGGGAATGACGGCCTTGATGGAAGCTGCTGCTCATTCAAAACCTGATTACTTAAAATACCTTATTGGGGCTGGATCAGATTTAAACAACAGGAACGGTAAAAGTTTGACGGCACTCATGAAAGCTGTGAGCAAAGGAAGCGCCGAGTGTGTACATGCTCTGTTGCAGGCACGAGCTGATGTTGACGTGGCTGATTGCGATGGAAATACAGCCTTAAGTTACGCAGCGCAGCTGGGTGATGTCATTGTTTTGGACTGGTTGCTACACTACGGCGCTCTCGTAAACACTGTGAACATCTACGGGGTGACGCCACTTATGATGGCAGTAAAAGCTTCCCGTTCGGATTGCGTTCAGAATCTTATCGCAGCAGGTGCCATCACTGACCTGAGAAGAGCAAGTGGGTCAACAGCCTTCAGTGATGCTCTGGAAAATGGGGATTCTAAGTGTCTGGATATTTTAACGGTTGGGCAGACCATTTCAGCAAGATTACAAAACGAAAGAAACTCGGCTCTCATTCTTGCCGCTAAGAATGGCGACGTCGGTCTCGTCAACTCACTCCTTGAATCTGGGGCTCTAGCGAATGCTGTCAATGAAGTCGGTGTGTCCCCCATAATGTTAGCAGCATTGTACAATAGGACGGACTGCGTTCAGGCGCTTATCAAGGCAGGCGCCAACTTCGATAGAAGGAGCCAAAAGGGGATGACAGCACTGATGAACGCGTCCAACAGAGGTCATATCCATTGTGTTCGTCTACTGATCGAATCAAAGGCGCGCCTTGATCTCGGAGATCATCATGATTTAACTTCAGTTGCAAGGGCGGCGCAAAGAGGTCATGTGGATTGTTTACTTGCTTTAATTGAAGCAGGTGCTTCTGTCAATCTTGCAAACAAATCTGGTATTACTCCTCTGATGTTGGCCGCGCAGAATGATCAAACTGAATGTATTAGACAACTCATAACTGCCGGATGTGACATCAACAGGCATTGTAAGGCTGGAGTAACTGCCCTTTGTTATGCATTGGGCTCAGGTTTCAATGAAAGTGCGAAGCTTCTGATCGAAAGCAGAGCTGACCTTTACGCAGTCGGTCAAACCAGCACAGCATTAATCATGGCGTCCAAAACTGGAAACAGTGAAATGTTAAAATATATCCTGGAAGCAGGAGCTGCCAATAACAAACTGGACAATACCTGCCTCTCAGTGATGTCACATGCTGTCATAAATGACATTTCCATGTGCTCAGAAATACTTAACGACGAGGGGGCTTATGTAAATGATAATATAGAGAAAACTGAGTTGATGGAAGCTTCAGAGGGAGCTAACTTTTCGTGTCTGGAAAGTCTTCAACGAGTTCATGCTTTATTCAATACAACTGACAACGAAGGAAATTCAGCCTTGTCGTATGCTGCAATATTGGGACATTCGAAATGTGTAAGAACTCTTCTCCGTTGTGGAACACTGTACGATCTGCTCAACAATAGAAATGAATCTCCAATTTACATTGCGGTGAAGAAAAATAAACCGGATTGCTTGCTTGAGTTTCTTGAATTTTCCTCAAGCATTGATCTTTCAAATCTTCTCATATTAGCGTCGTCTTATGGACATATTCAGTGTGTTAAACTTTTAATCCAAGGCAACGCAGATTTAGAGGCAGAAGACAATAATGGAAACACAGCTGTTATTCTAGCAGCTCAAGAAGGATATTTCGAATGCTTAAAAATACTTTTAGAATCTGGGGCTAAAGTGGATATTGCTAACAAAAAAGGTGTTACCGCTTTGATGAAATCAACATGTCTGGACCAAGGTGATGGCCATACAGACATCAACGCGTGTTCATTTCTTGAGGAGCGTCAAAGGCGATTCTTGTCGTGCACTAAGCTTTTAATAGAGTATAATGCACCGGTCGATTTGTCCGATCTCAAAGGTAACACGGCTTTACACTACGCCGCGAGGCTAGGTAACGTTCCTTGCCTTCAAATCCTGATACGAGCGAATGCAAATCTTGATTTGAAAAACAAGGAAGGGAGAACACCCTTTATTATGGCGACTGTCTGCATCCAGGCGGATGTTGTGTCAGCTCTAATCGCAGCTGGTGCCTCAGTATCTGCTGACTGCAATAAAGGGTTCACAGCACTGATGCACGCATGTATTCAAGGTAGTGGAAGATGTGCCGAGATAATCGCCCGAGAAGGTGCTAGTTTAAATGTGTCTGATTCAAGAGGCAACACTGCACTGCATTACGCGGTGGACAAAGGTAATCTCGAGATTGTGAAAACACTTTTGAACGCAGGAGCTTTGGTAAACTGTGTCAATGAAGATAGCATTCCTTCACTGCTCTGGGCTGTTTACAATGAAGACAACGCTTGCATGACCTGTCTCATTGACGCAAATGCGGATGTGAATTACGCGGACAAAAAGGGTAAGACTGCCCTGATACGAGCTGCAAAATCGGGAAATGTAGCTTCCATTCGCTTGCTCATTTCAGCTGGAGCTGCTCTAAATGTAGCCAATCACCGCGGAGAGACAGCTTTTCTAGTTGCCGTTTTGTATGAGAAGGACGAATGCGCGCAGGTTTTGGCTGAAGCAGGGGCTAGTGTCAATGCTCAGAGTAAGGCGGGAACAACAGCGTTGATACATGCCACAGAGAACTGCCTTCAGTCGCTGGACATACTGTTCAAGTTTGACGTACAGATAAACTCACCTGACAATCGAGGCTACACCGCACTCCACATCGCTGCAGAATCTGGGAAACTGAACTGCATCGAAACCCTTTTAAGGAACGGAGCCGATGTAAATGCCATCAATAATGGCGGCCAAACGCCATTGATGCTTGCCGCGACGTATGGAGGTATTCGTTCCATTAAACTACTTCTGTCATACCGTGCGGATGTCAATGCGAGGTGTCATCAAGGCAAAACAGCGCTGATGTACGCAAGTTCCAAACTTAATTTTAGATGCCTTGAGATTTTGATCAACTGGAATGCAGACCCGAATATTGTCGACCATGAAAATAAGACAGCTCTACACCATGGTGTTGATGATAAATGTGATTTAAAATGCTTTCGACTCCTCGTCGACTGCGGGGCTGACGTGAACATTCTTCATCTTAGTTCCACACCAGCCTTGTCCTACATAAAAGTTCTATATGACTACATTCAAGTTATAACTGATGCAGGTGCCGATGTCAACCTTCGCCATGAGAGCGGAATGACGTATCTCATGCACGCGTCCAAAGTCGGTTGCAATAATTCGGTGCGACTTCTTTTGGAAAACAATGCCAGTGTAGACGCAGGAGACAATCGAGGCAAAACTGCTCTGATGTATGCCTCGGAGGAGGGCTATATTGAATGTATAATAACTCTTCTGTCTTATGGAGCTTCGCTTGAGGCGACCAGCACTGAAGGACTCACGCCACTTATGTTAGCAGCAGAGAAATCTCATTTTAAATGTCTGTGTATGCTTGTTTTAGAAAACGCCGACATCCACGCGAGATGCAATGATGGAAACACGGCCTTGACATTTTCAATAAGGTCGGGGAGCTTAAATTGTTTAGAATACCTGATATCGTCAGGGGCTGATGTCAACACAAGCAATAAAGAAGGTGTGACGCCGATAATGTGTGCCGCCCAAAGTGGTCTTGTCGAAATTGTCACGGCTCTAATTATAGCCGGCGCTGACGTAAACTCGGAGCACTGTTCCCTGTCTCCAGTTTCAATTGCTTTGTCCATTCAAAGCACTGATATTCTTGGAGAGCTACTGAAACATGGCGCGAATGTGGACTCATGCAGGATCGACCTCTTAGATTTCTGTTACCTTGTAGAGGCCGACGAGAGGGCCTGTTTGCGGTTGCTGATATCTAATGGAGGTTTGCCTTATTCTAAAGACCTCACCACGGTACCACAGTCACCATTGATGTCCGCCTTACTTCAAGGAAATATCGGCGTCTGCAATTATTTCATTGTTAATAACTACCTCACTAAAGAAGACTCCAGGGGAAGTTTCGCCCCAGATTTGACCAGCCGAATGCCTAGGAAATCCAAACTTTTTGTGTCACAGCTTTTCTCTCAGCCCTGGCCTCTCAGTAAACTGGCCCTCGTAGCCGCTTCTCATGCCATCGGTCCAAGTCCAGGCCGGACACAGCGAGTGGACAGCCTTCCGCTTCCCAATAAAATGAAAACCCTTTTGCTTTACCAAGACCTCCCGTCGAGGATATGTACGGAGCAATGGGATGACATTCCACTTTGCTTTGATCCACAGGAATACACGAATCTTCCATTTAGAAATCAGTTTCTGTTCAACTGGCCAGTCGGGCTTGGCTTGGTGTCCTGTGAGTGTGAGACGTGCGAAAAAACTGGTTTGAAGTACGTTGATTCTTAGAATTTTAAACTCTTGCAACTATGGAAAAAGTTCTTATCTTTGCAACGTTAAATGTCCCAGAAACATATGTTTTAATAAACGCGCTGCCCATCTGGACAGCGGACCTTGTGTCATCACATCTCTAACCATCTCGAAAAGACCTTTACATCCAAATCAGCCGACCCAACTAAGGACAATTGAACAGATGTAAGGTTGTGCAAGTAAATGGTCAAACAATCTGAACAGGTAAAATGCCGGCGATTACAAATAAGATATCAAATGATGCTGGTGTTCTAAAAATTGGATTGACAAAATTGGAAGAAACAAATGATGCGTCGATCTAAAACATTACTGAGACTAAGTCAATTTCAATCACCACTTGCCAATTAGGAATGATGCATTTTACAGGAGTATACTATATATATATATAAATATGTATATCAGATATTGTGAGCGATTTGTAAATCAGTTGTTTAAACTATATATTTTTTTAAATATATTTGTTTACTTATTTATTTATATTTATAGTTATATATAGATATTGATTTATATATATATATATATATACATATAATATGTATATATATATATATATATTTATATATATATATATATATATATATAAAAATATAAATAGATAGATATATATATAATATATCAAATATTTGTTTTTTGTACACTATATTTGTATATATATATATATTTACTTATTTATTTATATTTATAGTTATATATAGATATTGATTTATATATATATATATATATACATATAATATGTATATATATATATATATATTTATATATATATATATATATATATATCAAAATATAAATAGATAGATAGATATATAATATATCAAATATTTGTTTTTTGTACACTATATTGGCCTATATGTATATCAAAGTTTACATTTATTATTTGTGTGATATATGTAAATATATATCTATTTTTACATTCTAGTGCTATATGTATATCTAATTTAAATTTATTTGCTATATGTATATTTAAATTAACATTTGTGCATTTATGTATGTCTAATTTTTACATTTGTATAATACATGTATATTTAAATTTTGCATTTGTTTAACTTATGTATATTTAAATTTTTCATTTGTGTACTATATGTATATCTAATTTTTACCTTTGTGTAATACATGTATATTTAATTTTTACATTTGTGTAACATATGTATATTTAAATTTTTCAATTTGTGTTCTATGTGTATATTGAAATTTTTCCTTTGTGTAATATATGTATATTTACATTTTACATGTATACACTATATGTATATCTACATTTTTACACTAGTGTGCTATATGTATATGATATTTTTACATTTTTGTACTATATGTTTATTTAATGTTTAACATTTGTGTATAATATGTATATCTATTTTTTTTTACAAGGTAATGTACTACGTAGGTGATATATGATCATTTTGAGATATAAAAGCTTAAAATAAGAAGATTTGGAAATATTTGATGACTTAATGGACGCTAGTTGAATGCTGCACCTAACAGTCAGCATCGCCTAATTGGGCTACAGAAATAGTTTGAGATCACGAGACATACTTGATCATCATCCGACGACCAGTTGTTGTTGTTTTTTGTGTTGCTTAAGTGGTCGACATAAGTAAGGAATGACCTTGGGGGAGGGGGGGGGAAGCACCAATGTTGTGTAGGTATAAAATTTGCCAATATCACAACAATTCATCCTCTCTGCCTTTTCAAGCGAAATATGTATTTTGTAAAAAAAAAATAATAATAAATGTACAATTGTTTTTTTCCTGTTTATTTTAACAAATTGTTTAAATTAAAATTTTACCCTCTAAAAAGAATATAATTTACTAATGTTGCCTAATTGTTTTATCTGGTTGGATGATTTATTTATTGTCCATGGTGATTTGATGTGAAGATGTAAATGTAATGACTCGGTTACTATATAAATCACATAAATACTTTTTTGTTTTTTAATTTAAGACAGATAAGATTTAGTGCCATGCAAACTACAATCCTTTTAAGAGTTTCAACATTTTTAATTGATTAAAATTGACCATGTCTATAAAAAGTTCTAAGAAAAGATGATGACCAAACTTGAAAAGTTTATGTAGGGACCAAAATGGTTGCTTTTTAGTTTTATTATGTTAAAAATTGTGTTTACCTTTACCCAGGTTATCGGTTCTTCAGTATTGAATTAATAATTAATAGATTTTAATAGTAATAGCCATTATAAAAATGTTATTCTCTTATTAATAACTACTCATATGGGAGAGCATTACTAAAACTAAGCCTGGATATCAAATATAATTATAAACAATATCAGTTATTAAAATCCTTACTTCTATTTAGGTCTAATTTTAATATTTTCCACTGATTCTATTGCAATTACTACAACCACACTTAAAGTGCGTGGATTTTTTTGATAAGGTATTAAATTATAAATTATATTTATAATACCATTTAAGTTAATATAACAATCTAATACTTAGCCTACTTACAGTGTGTCTTTACTTTTAGTCTTAGATTTAGTCTCGTGGTATTTATTACATTAGGATGTATTAAATTATTAGAATTAGAATCAGATTGCTGTAGAATTATTGAATAACATTATTGTTTAAAATTAGGCAATATATATTTTAGTTTATAGCCTGCATAAAAGTTATTTTTAGGCCTGTCAAATGACATTTTAGTATAGGCCTGTCAAATGACATTTTCTAATATAGGCCTGTCAAGTGACATTTTTTAATACAGGCCTGTCAAATGACATTTTTAATATAGGCCTGTCAAATGACATTTTCTAATATAGGCCTGTCAAATGACATTTTAGTATAGGCCTGTCAAATAACATTTTTAATATAGGCCTGTCAAATGACATTTTTAATATAGGCCTGTCAAATGACATTTTAGTATAGGCCTGTCAAATGACATTTTTAATATAGGCCTGTCAAATGACATTTTTTAATATAGGCCTGTCAAGTGACATTTTTTAATATAGGCCTGTCAAATGACATTTTTTAATATAGGCCTGTGAAATGACATTTTCTAAATTGAGTTTACATCAACGCAAAAATTGAAAAGAAAACAAGAATTTGCGTAGATTCAGGATAATGATTGGAGGCAGAGACTTGTTCATTCTAAGCTTTATATCACGTACAAGAGAACATTTTAATTTTCTTTTTGAACATCTTTGTAGTATTCCTTCCACTTCCGTCGACAATATCAATAAAGGCATGAGTGGAAGTAGATGGCAAAGAGAAAGTTTATGAAGGAGAGATTGTTTGGGATTCATCAACAAGACCAACTAGTCTGAAGAGCAGTCAAAGTAGAAAACGACAGGCAGAACAAACCCATTACCCTCAAATAAAACTATCCAAAATACAAAGTCTTGATTTATGTAAACGTTTTGTCTTTGTTGCTCCTTGTGTTGTATATTGCATTGAGGATGTCTCCTGAAAATTTGCTACCATAATCTTTTAACTTTAAAAAGTAGTGGGCGAAATAAGGCAGACATTTGGAACATGGGTCACAAGTTTTCACAGTTAAATACAAAGCTAAATAATAAGGGGGGGGGGTATAAAAATTGCATCCCCAAAAAAAATCATAGCTTCGTTTCTATAAAAGCTAGACAGATGAAATCTGTGTTTTTGAAAAGCTTATAGATAGCCTTTAAAATCGATGTATCATTTATGGCAATAGCACAATATTGAAAATTTCTTTCAAAGTACCTAATCCTTATCCTTCATTTTGCATGAGTTCATGCTCCGCAATCATTTTTGTGGCAATGATTTAACTTAATCTCGGTCTTCTTTTCATACATTACATTATTATTTTTTTTAAATTCTATTTAAAAAATTATTAAATTTTTTTTAAATTTTCTTTTCTTAAAATGTTGTCTTTTATATATTTGCAAAAAAATGTGTACAATGTCTTTTTTTTTAAAATGTTTATAATTCTTTGGATCGGTATAAGAATTTTATCAAAAAAAAAAAAAAAAATTTTTTTTAAATTCTATTTAAAAAATTATTAAATTTTTTTTAAATTTTCTTTTCTTAAAATTTTGTCTTTTATATATTTGCAAAAAAAGGTGTAAAATGTCTTTTTTTTTAAAATGTTTATAATTTTTTGGATCGGTAAAAAAATTTTATAAAAAAAAAAAAAAAAACACGTTCAAATAGCACTTCAAATCGGAATAACGAGATTTAGAACAGAAGCTCAAGTGGTAAATTACTTAAGTCGTCCAAAGTCATTGTGGATCAGATGGCGATACCGTGAAGTTAAAGACAAGAAATCCATGTTTTTTTTAAAAATGCATTTTAAAAATTAATGCCAGGGGGTCTGTTTTAATTAGCCCTACTTAACTTACTGGAATTGGAGTTTAGAAAAAGAAACCTGATTTTAAAATCTGTCCACATTGACAAAAGTAGGCGGTGTCCATTTGGGCATTGATTGGACAAGCCAGACGAAGGAGGGATCATCGTGCAATCGTGAGCCCCCTCCTCATTGATGTGTGCTGTCATTTATGGGTGGCAGGAGGCCCTAAAAGGCAGTAGGCACATGCCTCATTTGTCGGTTAACCCACCCCAAAACATGTACAATTATTGATACCTGGAATAGTATTAATTACAACATTCTCTGTAATAAACATCATTTTCATACATATATATTTATTTATTTTTACAAATCAAACAATTTTTTTTTAATGACCAATAATAAAATTAAAACATGTGTCAGTAAAAAAAATGTTAGAATGTTGGGATATTCACTTTGTCACAAAATTTTAGGATGTTGGAATATTCACTTTGTCACAAAATTTTAGGATGTTGGGATATTCACTTTGTCACAAAATGTTAAGATTTTGGGATAGTCACTTTGTCACAAAAAATAAGGATGTTGGGATAATCACTTTGTCAAAAAATGTTAGGATGTTTTGATAATCACTTTGTCACAACATTTTAGGATGTTGGGATAATCCTCTTGTCACAAAATGTTAGGATGTTGGGATAATCATTTTGTCATAAAATGTTAGGATGTTGGGATAATCATTTTGTCACAAAATGTTAGGATGTTGGGATAATTACTTTGTCACAAAACTTTAAGATGTTGGGATAATCACTTTGTCACAAAATATAAGAAAACTTAATCTAACAAGTAATTTTACATTTATCGAGGTGAAGGGTCATCGTTTGTCTAAACCAATCAGTTATATAATAATACGTCCTTTACATGACAACTATTTTTAATACATTTTTTATAAATATCCTCCTTTGAAATTATTGCAGAAACAATCATTGGGGCATACATTTTCACGTAGTTCATTAATGTGTAAAAAAAAATTATAATAATAAAAAGAAATCATGTATTTGTTCTAGCTTTAAAAATGTGACAGGTTACATCAATCAAAATAGTCTAAAAAAAACAACTAAATTTTGTTTTAAAATTTACAATTAAAAAAACATTCACGTTCTGAGTTAACAAGGTTCGGGTGTTGTGCTTTGAGCCACTAGTTCTTTCTCCGTGTGTATCACCATGAGAACCCCTTCCCCAGCACTGGACACGACGACAGGGTAGGGTGTCGTGCCCTGGGCCACCCGCTCTTTCTTCATGTGTACCACCGTGAGGATCCCCGCTCCGGCACTGGACAGCACACCCACCATGCCCAGGCCGAGACTGAAGCTGACCGAGAACGAGAGGTCACGCTGGAAGGCGTAGAAGACGAAGAGCTCAACCTCTCGTATCCCGGCTGTCGAGACGATGATCGCACCAAGGAACCCGACGCCAGCTGGAACATCGACAAAATAAGAACACCAAATAAATACAAAAAACAGACACCTGCTGGAACATCAACAGAACACGAATACAAATAGATACCCCAAAAAATTATGAAAGTAGTGAAACAATGCTTATCTGTTATCTGGCTTATATTTTTTTTTTTTTTTTTTTTTGGTTACTCCAAAATTTCTATTTTAATCATAATTGTTATTTACATGATTTCCCATAAATCCCCTCCACTTACTGCTCAAGTACAATTCGTGCCATGATCGGCCTCATCAGCCATCTGCGCACCCACAGTCAAGTTAACAATTGCCATGTATGTTGATTAAGTTGACCACAGTCGATTGCGACCCACTTTAGTTTTCTTGATATTGAAATAAAGGCATTACAATCAAATTGTATTCGATACTAACCGGAAACAAAATAGAGTACAGCAGACGCCAGCACCAATTTCCTGTTCTCGATAGAATTGAAAAAGTATTTGCGGTAGTAGACGACGCCACCGACAAGGCCGGCAACGGCGCAGAAGAAAGCAATCATGATGAACGCCCTTGAGGTGGAGATGGCTCCCCCTGTTGGTATGTGAAACATGTTAACTCATGTATTGTGTTGACATATAAAAAAAAGACGCACTTAGCACAATGAGTTTTCTAGATTATAAAAAATATGTCTTTAAATATATATAGTCATGAGAAACTATACTTTAAAATATATGAATTCATCGAATAATGAAACACAAACCATTTGTGAAGATAAAATAGTGTAGACAGACTTTCAATGGTATGAAGACACACAACGAAACATTTAAGATTTTTCGACGAATGCCTTCATCAGTAAAACATACAAATAAATGATACATTAATTTTTTCTCAATATATCTTTACGATATATACGGTGTCCGGAAAAAAAGGAAATCCTTTTTTGTAACGATTAAAACTTATGGTGAATATTCATAATAATGTGTTATTTAATTCCAAAAATCATTTTAATTCTAACATACTTTAATTTTTTTTTTTTTAGACTAAACTATGGTTTATTTTCGAAGTGCACACCCTTAGTTACAACACGGGCTTCAGTGCGCAATCTCCAATGGCCAATCATCATCAAGAGAGTTATCCTTTTTTCAGGACACAGTGTATATATCCCACCAATTATTGAAGTGGTAAAAAAAACAAGAAAAATTGGTCTGAACAACTCCCTAACAACTACAAAGATCAGAAGAGTAAATAAGAAAGACAATGGGTGGAACAAAACTGTATAACCTAGCATGGAGGAATATGACGGTTGTGTCAAACTGTCTAACCTAGCATGGGGGAATATGACGGTTGGGTCAAACTGTGAATTGGGTTAAAACCTAATGGGGTCAACGTGATAAAAATAATTCCGCATAAGGAATTGAAGCCAGCGACACGAGCCGAAGCGCGTATGGGTCTCCCAAGGGCTCAATTTGGCAGAATCTCCCCTCCCCCGGGATTTTTCACCCTAATGCTCCACTAATTTTTCTTATTAATATGTTTTCCATATAAATCTATTAGGCTATACTAATCACATATAATCTACCAGTAAAAGCAATGTCCGAAATCCCTATCTGGTAAACACTGATGAAATATTGTTTTTTTTTAAACGGGACGATGGTGTTGTTTCAATATTATAATGCATTCGCTGTCCTAAACGGTCTCCCAGGCGACAACCTGTTTCCCTACGTAGCACTTTCTGTACTCGAGGATGGCGTTAATCGCCTTGTTGATTCGTAAAATATCCAGAGGGTAGTTGATCTAATTTACTTCAGACACATACTGACATGTGTCGCACCGTGACTTGTGTCGCACCGTGACATGTGTTGCACCGTAACATGTGTTGAACCGCGACATTTTAGCACCGTGACATTGTTGCACCGTGACATTTGTCACACCGTGACATGTGTTGCACCGTGACATGTGTCAACCATGACATGTGTCGCACTGTGACATGTTAGCACCGTGACATGTTTTGCACCATGACATGTGTTGAACCGTGACGTGTTCGCACCGTGAATGTTAGCATCGTGACATGTTAGCATCATGACATGTGTTGCCTATTTAATTATTCAAAAAAATGACTAATTGAAATAGATTCACATCTTTTAGCTTTAGCCATTGATAATGAATAAAGCCTCACCACCGAATAGTTATTAGCCTATTTAAATGGGCCTATCTTTTGGGTTCATTTGAAACACTTGCGAATGTGGGGCTTGGGCTAAATAACCAGATACCGCTTTCACACTCACTCCAACCCACACACGAACCCCCACACCCACACACAAAAACACACTCAAGTGTTTAGATGGTGTGTACTTCGAAGGACCAAAAAAAATATATATCATATTAACGATTCCAGTAATGATGAGAGAAAACGTGGACAGTTTCTGGACACTGTATTCCTATAACCGAGGCTCATACCTGCCTATTTGGGTCAGTACTGGCCATACCTGTCCAGTGGTTTGGGTACTCACCTTGGTAATTATACGATACACATTTAGAGGTGAAACAGATGCGATAGAGGCCAGCACTCACTCGCCGGTGCGGATCATTCATCCATGCCGGCACGGCCATCCCAATCATCAGAAAGAGAGCGCCGAGATAGCCAATGATGAAGGATGTCTTTATGATGGGGTGGAGCATCGCCTCGGGCATTTCATTGAATGTTTTGTGGGGATAATCGGTCTCGTTTCTCGTACGCTACCAAAAGTAGGTTTGAAATGAAAATATAGTCTACAGGAAGCAAAATCCTATATTTAAATTAAAATTATTAAGGGAAAAATACTAAAAGTGGGTTCAACGCTAGATAATTTTCTTGTTAATAAGTGATTCGTTTGCATATTATATTGTATCGCATCTTTTTGTTTGTTGCTGTTTGTTGGTTGTTGTTTTTTTTTTTTTTTTGTTTTTTTTGGGAGTTACGTAACTTTTCTTTTGGAATGATTGAAATTGAGTTTTCCCGTATTTTAAAAAAACAAAACTTTATTTCTCTGTAATCAGGCTTTAATATCTTATACACACATTGAAACAATTTAGTATACACTTACCTGGTCCACCTCCTCAAATTACTAGAATATAATTACGCCGTAGGCCCGCCGAATGCAAAATTCTGAATATCTTATTTCAATATCACAAATTGGTTTGTGTTTATTGGGCTATGATATCACTTGAAAACCATTTGTTTTGCTTTTTGTTTGTTTGTTTTTGTTCTCTCTCCTAATTCCAATTGTATTATGTCTCAACTTTTATCAGGATTGTGCATAAGTGTTCAGAAAAATGTTTACTTTTACACATCACCCCCCCCCCCACTGCTCGGCGCAGTGTTGACGTCACAAGTGTGTACTTGATGCTAATCTCTGACCGGACACAACATCTCCTTGTCACTCTTCTGGTCGCCGTTGTTCTTTATTTTGTTTTTGTTGGTGTTCTTTTTTTTCTTCTTTTTTTCGTTTTTTTTGGTTTTATGCGTGTTTTTTCAAAAGATAAAGTTTCATTGGTCACTTTTTGTGTATTCTGCACTCCGTGTATTTTTGTCATCAGACGACACGACCGCCAGCTTGGCACGCAAGACACAAATGTGGCGGATCTAAGACAAACAGTACAGGGGGGGAGGGGGAGGGGTGTTTAAATTTACCAGATCGGGATTTGCGGCGGAGAACTGGCGTAGGAAGGGTGGCGTAGGAAGGGTGGCGCAGAGGATGTGGTCCCCCCCCTGGCTGGTACTCTTTATTGAGGGCCGGGACTTTTTGGCGATCTGCAGATTTGTTTATTGGGGTGGGGGGGGGGGGGTTGCCAAAGCCTCGGTCCTCCCCGGGTGGTACTGGCCTTAGGGACGCCACGGGGGGGGGGTGGGGAGTATGTTCCCTGGTGTAGACTGATACTGGCGGGTCGAGTTTTAATTTATGTGAAGCATTGTGAGAAAACTAACTAATTTTTGAAGGAGCTGCACTGCGATTAAGTTTGAGTAAAACAGTTGCACGGTACAGTTCTGCTTGAATCAAAGGACAACATACACATTTTAGACTTATACTGATCAATACAAATGAGGCGAAACGTCTAAATTGGATTAATTTTGTTATTCATATTAATTTTTATTTTTACTTTTACTTACACAAATCGTCTATGTCTTATTTATCTTATTATGAGTGTTGTTACTAGTGTTATTAATCTACTTGTGCTACTGATCTGCTAGTGCTATTGATCCACTAGTTCTATTGATCTACTAGTGCTATTGATCTACTAGTGCTACTGATCTACTAGTGCTATTGGTCTATTAGTGCTATTGAACTAGATCTATGGATCTACCAGTGTTATTGATCTACTATTGATATTGATCTACCATTGTTATTGGTCTACTAGTGCTATTGATCTACTAGTGCTATTGATCGACTAGTGTTATTGATCTGCTATTGATATTGATCTACTAGGGCAATTGATTTACTGTTTTCATTGCATATGAACGATTTTTCTATTTTAATTTGGGATTCTGTTTGTTTGCGATAGAGATATCGTTTAGCAAACATAATTTAACACACGAGAGTACAATTTCTTTAATGTTGCTGAAAAGATTTCGACTGCGGTAAACTTTTGACATTGCCTAAACGGAGTTACCGTTACTTTTCCTAGCGGAGTTACCAGGTCCGTTACTTTACTCGTAGTTTCTAAGTCCGACCTGTGGTAGTATGCCAAGAAAATATCGCAGTCTCAACAGAGGGATCTCGTTGCAGAGTTCTCTAATTATTTAAAGTGCACCTGAAGTTAACATTAGGGTCACACTAGATTCAAAAGTTTCAAGTGCAACACATTTAACTGAATCCCGCCAGGCAATCACTTTTCCGACCCAAAATGAAATAATTAAAACACATTCACAAACCCCTCCTCTCCATGTTCTCATATTCTTACCCCCAATTCGTCCAAAAAGTATTTAGTTTATTTTTAGATCGCCCGTCCTTCGCTCGCTAAGATGACCAAATCCATATTCGACTTGAGCTGTATTTTGTTTTAAGTGAGAGAGAGGGTTGCTCAATTCGTCAGCCTCACTCTCTCGTCCTTGCATACTTGTTCCAATGCTTAGGCAAGGCGACAGATAATAGAAAAGTGGATGAACAGAAGCGATGTTGCTTTTTTTTTTCCCACGTCACAGGAGTTTGCTGGAATTTTCATTACGCAACTCCATCTCCGGGTTTGATTTTTCAGAGTTTGCGTTCTCTTGGATAAGCTGCCATCGAAGGTTAACGGGTGCCATCCACTCGGGTGATAGTGTGGGTTGGCTTGTCTGGGCTGGAGACTGAGCTCCTGTCAACGAGCTTGGGATTGACACACGCTAGACCGCTCGGCCACCCTATGATTTCATATATATATATAATTCATTTCGATGGTATGTACTATAATATAGCGATAAATATAGACTTCTCTTTTTTTACCCCTCCTAAAAGATTATCGTTACACACGATCAGCGATTCTTATAAGGAAACTAAACAATCACATCACAATACAAGCCCTGAATTGGAGGAATCCTTAAGGTACCAGGAAACGAGGGAGACCAAGGGCCGTGTGGAAGAGGTGAAGAGAATGAGGAAAAGTTGGGCTGGACTAGCAAAGATATCCCAGGTGAGGGACAGATGGTAAAAGTATTGTGGATGGCCTATGCTCCATTGGGCTGAACTAGCAAAGATGTCCAAGGTCACGGACAGATGGAAAGTATTGTGGATGGCCTATGCTCCATTGGGTTGAACTACCAAAGATATCCTAGGTCAGAGACAGATGGAAAAAGTATTGTGGATGGCCCATGCACCATTGGGCTGAACTAGCAAAGATGGCCCAGGTCAGGGACAGATGGAAAAAGTATTTTGGATGGCCCATGCACCATTGGGCTGAACTATCAAAGATGTCCCAGGTCAGGGACAGATGGAAAAAGTATTGTGGATGGCCTATGCTCTATTGGGCTGAACTAGCAAAGATGTCCCAGGTCAGGGACAGATGGAAAAAGTATTGTGGATGGCCTATACACCATTGGGCTGAACTAGCAAAGATGTCCCAGGTCAGGGACAGATGGAAAAAGTATTGTGGATGGCCTATGCTCTATTGGGCTGAACTATCAAAGATTTCCCAGGTCAGGGACAGATGGAAAAAGTATTGTGGATGGCCTATGCTCTATTGGGCTGAACTAGCAAAGATGTCCCAGGAGAGGGACAGATGGTAAAAGTATTGTGGATGGCCTATGCTCCATTGGGCTGAACTAGCAAAGATATCCCAGGTCAGGGACAGGTGGAAAAAGTATTGTGGGTGGCATATGCTCCATTGGGCTGAACTAGCAAAGATGTCACAGGTCACGAACAGATGGAAAAGTATTTTCGATGGCATATGCTTTTGTAATAAACCATCTGGTTTAGATTTAATTCAAAACAAAGATGTAAACTAAATTTTATGTGCTCAAATATTGAAATCGAACACGTTTTTTTCCTTAAAAACATCACTAGCAGTTTAATTGAGTGTCGGTAAACATGATTCATAAACGACAATGACATAAATGTGATCGTTACATGAAGACAAAAAAACATGGAAAATAAATACACGATTAAAAAGTTTACTTACAATAAATTTATGCAATTACACACTGACTGAATACCATATTTTACAACCACACCGACTTTCGATTTCTTGGATGAACTGTGTAATCTCTAATATTAAAAACCCGAGAAATGAAACTTACATGAAACAACCCCTAAAAACAATGTATTGGTACCAATACTTTATATTAGGTGCTTAGGTGTGATGGGGTTCAGTTTTTTTTTTTTGTTTTAAAAATGTTAACGTTTTTCAACAAGTGTTCCCTAGCTCGTGCCATTATTTTCCTCTGCACTGGTTCACCCCTCTTTCCTACCACCCTTTTCAGATCGGTGTATTTATAATGCCTGTAGCTACAAGTTTTCCCATCAAGACTTTCTATCAACTGTATTGTATTCATCTTTTTCCGCCTAACTACATCACCGAACATTAAATTTTAAAATAATTACCGTCTGGAATTATTAGTTACACCGATGGCCACGGAACAGTAATACTTTCTGTGGCTCATAATAATATAGTTTACATGGACAAGAACGCTCAAATTTCAAATTTTACACAAATTATTGAATGAACATGGTGAAATAAAAATAACAAAAAAGTATTGAATGTGCAAACACAGTGTCGGACCGACCGGGTGTCTTTGGGCTGGGGCGGCCCCCAGTGGAACCCGATCGCGCGGACTCGGTTGGGGGCTGTCCTGGCAAGGGGACATCTCCAACGTGCCGCTTCGAGGCCCGATACCGGGCTAGTGGGGGGGGGCGTGCTATGGGGAGAGCATAAATAGCACTAGCTCGACGGACCGCCGACGCCATTTCCTAATGTGACATTGAATGAACATGATGAACAATAAATATTATTGAATAAACGTGATAAAATTTATTTTTAAAAAATGAAAAAAATGTACAGGCTAGAAGACAAACAAATTTAATTTTTTTTTTTAAGCCTATCTCTCTCCAGGCGTACCGTGTTGCCGTGGTTTAAGCAATGACCTAAAAATTTCGTTGTATGAAAATAGAAAGGGCTGCGTTTAAACATAACTCGTAAAACAAGGAGGGGAGACTCTTTTTTTTTTGTAACAGCAGTTCTCAAACTGAGTTAGCTGTGGGTGATGATCGTGCCCTGTGGTCCGGCTTCCTTCTGCAAGTGGATCAACGTGAGAGCCCCTGCCCCGGCACTGCCCAGGGCCCCCACGATGGCCACGCCCAGGCTGTAGGTGACCGTGAAGTCGAATCGGTTGCCCACCAGCAAATACAGGTACACCGTCATCTCTCGCAGGCCGGCCGTGACGAAGATGATGGAGCCCGCAAAACAGCAGCCCGCTGGGTAGGGAAAGGGAGGGGAAAAAAAACATGAATATTGAGTTCAAGGTGTTTCTCTTCAAGGTGAATATTTTTATCAAAGGTGTCTAAAAGTGATAACGTGTATTTCAATTCATTTTGAAGTGAAATGTGTGTGGTGTTTTATTTTGTTTCTTTGTTTTCATTTTTAACCATACAGAACGCGCCAAAAGTAACTGTAGGATAACTAAAAAAAAAAATTTTTTTAAAGAAAAGAGCAATATTTCCTTGTTGTTATCTGTAAATGTCTTTCTCCTGAAAGAAAACTAACACACTTACATGGTAATGTGTTAATTCAAAACGTAGATGTTCGTAGTGTGGCCCCCGCCTCGCGGTAGAGTTTAAACATTGCTCATATGAACATATCGCTGGTGTAGATTTCCAAACATATCACTGAACAATGTTTGCTAAGGACTCTAGCGAAAGGAGACAATTTTCTCGCGTAATGCAGACACTGTTCCCTTGGGGATCTTCACAGATGAACACACTCTCCTAGAACTTTTCCCACAACTAGCCATCAGTTGGAGCAATACCGCGGAAGGGAGACTTAACACGGAATCCAGTTACACGTCCAAGAAAGTTTTTTCTGCAGCTGGGGCAATAGCTTCTCGAGAGATTTTTTCCAGTCTCCCCGTCATTTTGATACCATTTTGTCCACTCATGACGTGAATGTTCCTTGGCCAACAGAACCTGCTCAGATTGCATAGAAATGTTTTCAATCGCCATGCCCCCCTGTATCGTTCTTGGGTGACGGTCCGAGCGTTGCCTTCATCAACCCCAAGGAAACAGGGGACTAATAAACCGTGTGCTGAAGTGACAACACACCGTGACGTCATGCGTGTACTGTGTAGCGGTGTCTGGACAATAACATGTGGGACACTCAAACCCAAAGAAGCGAGTTGTCATGCGATTAGTGCGGCCGTTCAAGTGAATGGGACTTGTAAAAATGATTATAGATTCTCTTACATCATGAGCCAAAAATGCTCCACAATACACCACCCTGCACCACACTTGCCCGCAGATGTGTCTTTTTTTCAGGCGTTATCCAACTTGCACTGTAAGAGTTACGAAAATGCAAATATGTCCTTAGACAAACGGCAAACACATGTAGCGCTGATGTTCAGTTTCAACTGGGTTTTCTCGTAGACTTCGTAGGGGCACACGTAGCGTCTACTGCGGAGCACGTGTGTGACTCTCATTTGTCGACAGGTCTCACCCTTCCGCTAGAGACAGCACACTTACCAGAACCGCGAAATTACTTAAACGATAGTCAGCACAGCCGTGTTGCTTAGTGCCATGTTACATAATGACGTCTTTTTAAATCTCTCTCGGAACTGTTCTGCCCACTTTTTTTTTTTTTTTTTTGCAAAAACCGTGCTCTTCTTCATGACCAGTTTCCAGTACGAGCCAAAATAATGCTCAGCTATTAATTAATTTTTTTTCCGGCAGTGAGCCTCATTTCCACTAACGATTGCCCAAACAATACATAATGACGTCTTTTTAAATCTCTCTCGGAACTGTTCTGCCCACTTTTTTTTTTTTTTTTTTTGCAAAAACCGTGCTCTTCTTCATGACCAGTTTCCAGTACGAGCCAAAATAATGCTCAGCTATGAATTAATTTTTTTTCCGGCAGTGAGCCTCATTTCCACTAACGATTGCCCAAACATACGTACTTGATAACTCGGGGAACACGTGGCGACTGGAGCTAGGCACCGTTGACAAACGCACCCGTGCGTTCAAGATGCGGCAGATTCAGTACCGTTACGTTTGGCGCATAATGTATCTATTTTTAATCTACAGCTATGCATCATAAGTTTTAATTAAGATTTTAAAACATAATTCTACCCAGCCACGTTTAAAGATTTGAAAAAAGTTTGAAATAAATTGACTTTAACTCGCTCTTTTGACCTGAATACTTGAGTTTTAAAATGTAAACACTTCAATCTTAATGATCTCAATTAGTTATATTCAGACTAAATGTAAATAAAAACAAATACATTATAGCCCTAATAGCTTAACTTGCAAACCTAATGTCAACTTAATTTTTTTCTTAAATTCTACAGCTGTTAGCTTCATTTTTTTTTTTCATGAAGCACATTCTAATTGAAGAATAATCGATACCAACCTGAAATGAAGTAGAGTACAGCAGATCCTAACGACATTCTCCTGTTAGGGATGCTCTGGATGAAGTACCTGCGATAGTAGATGGCGCCATTCACCATTCCACCGATGGCACAGAAGAATGCAATCATGATAAACGCTCTCGAAGCATAGAGGCCGCCCGCTGCTCAAATAAATTTTTAAAAATTAATTAATTAATTAATTAAACTTCCATTAACAAATACAAAAAGGAAAATACATGTATACATTATGAGAGAATTGGTGGCGTCAATTATTTGTTAACGACCCAATTCATCTGTCATTGCGGAGTTAAATCTCTAAACCAAACAGACACACCACAGCAAAACACAGCCATGGTTTCCCAAACTGGCGTGCTCAAACAGGTAGGTGCAAGCAGTGGCGTAATTAAGGGTTGTGTGGGAAAAGGGGGGGCGCACCGGGTGACACACTCAAAATAAAAGAGTGGCACAAAATAGAAAATTGAACATTTGTCAGAGCTCCCCGAGTCCGTTTTTATATACATATCTAAAATAAATACAGGAGCACGGTGCCATCAGAACACAGTGGCACAAGATCACGGTGCCGTCAGAACACAGCGGCACAAGAGCACGTTGCCATCAGAACACAGGGGCACAAGAGCACGGTGCCGTCAGAACACAGCGGCACAAGAGCCCGGTGCCGTCAGAACACAGTGGCACAGCCGCAGATTGGCTAAAGAACACAGTGCCACCAGATCGTCATTACGTTTTTCAACACGATCCGTGGCATACTCAAAGTTGTGATTCCCTACACGGGTCATGACTTGGCAGCTTTCACTTACAAACATAATGAATTCGCATTGCTGTTTTACGTTGATTGAAAATTTTGAAGTGTTTTTTCGCGTCTCTGTCTGGTTTATAATAATAATTGTTCATCTTTTTTAAGTTCAGTCTTTCTGCCGAATGCTCAAGAGTCCCCTCGACACCATCAGCTTCTTTAGAACACTCCTAACAGGTTGAAAACGCTCAGACAGATATGGTCTCCAATTATGGTTGTGCCAAAGTCCTTACGCCTTAATCCAACTAGGCGTCATGGTGTTCTGGTGATAAATGTTGTGATTCATTTACCATTAAGCTATGTTTATGTACATCATCCCCCACAAGGCGGCTTACTTATACAACTTTGACTATAAAAGTTATAAATTTATAGACGGTTTCCAACTCGATAATAATCTAATCGTCTTTTGTATTAGCAAGTAAGTCACGCGTTCATTTTCCAAGTTCTGCAGTTCTCTTTGTTCTAACAGAAATGACTTGACGTCTTTTCTTCTTTTCCTTCAATTTTAAACTGAGTTTTTAATTTTGCCGTTGGCGTCAGAGTCAAACAATTTGATAAGGGATGCGAGACGAGTTGGCGAATTTGTGGTGGGTGCACAGCGAAAAGTGCGTTGACAATGAGATAAATATTAGAATAAAATAAACTTTTTTTTTTTTTTATTACGAAACATGTTGTAACTTGTTGTTACAACATTTTTCGTAATTTTTTTTTTTTTAATGACGAATCCTAAACATTTTTTTTCTTTTTTTTTAATGACGTATCCTGTTGTAACTTTATTGTAATCAACATTGCCTGTTGACTTTTTTTGTATTTGCGAAGATGCTGGCTACCTTGGTAACTGACTGAAGCACATCCACCAGGTCCACAGATGAGATAGAGTCCGGCGCTGACGTCCCTGCTGGAGTCGGTCATCCACGCGGGTATGGCCATGCCGAGCAGGATGAGCAGCGTGCCGAAGCCGCCAAGAATGAAAGAAGTCTTGATGAACTGGTTGATCATTTTTTTTTTTTTTGGAGCTACCTGAGCTTCCTGAAATTGAAAGCCAAAAAAAAAAAATTATATATATATATATATATATATATATATATATATATATATATATATATATATATATATATATATTAGTATTGGAGTAAGCATTCCTCAAGCTTGCACTTACTCTAGAAAGATGCGATTGAGTGTACTGATTATTATCGGTGCTCATTTTATTCAAGTGAGTTTTGGCAATTAAAAACGTAAATATAACTATTTTTTTAAAAATTACTTGGAAGTAAAAAAATTATTTTAAAAAATCAATGCAAGGAAGTAACTTTATTTTAGTATCTAATGTTCCATCATTATTCCAGTTACTACTCAAAATCGAAAAAAAAATAAAAAATTATCATACAAGGAAATTTAAAAGATGAGGAAATCTCTTTATTACGTTTTGAAAATTTTTCCATGGAAAAATAGATCATTTTGTTTCGAATTGCCTTGATTACCGGTGTGGTTCTCCTATGTTTATATAAGGCATCGGAGCATAAAAATGAAAGCTCAATTTGTCTTAGATATCAATTCTGGCCAGTCAAACCCTCTCCAGCAAAGCTGACAAGCCAACAGCGATGACGGTGCGTGTCGCATGATGAGTTCATCAACTACGAGAGGCACCAGAAATCAAAGTAAATGGCACCAAAAAAAAAACTCTTCCTGTTAATAAACATGCTCTAAATACCAAGTCACAAAGATGACTGAACGACTTACCGATTGAATATATCCAAATCGTCACGTTACCTAAAGGTGTCAGGCTCAGTTAGTCGATTCTGACTGAAGAAAATAAATAAATAATCAATTTATAATGATATTTTTTAAAATAACTTTTTTTTTTATTGACTGTAATATCAATTTGTTGAAGATTTAGTTTTTCTGCTGTTTTGTTGTTTTATCGATATTTTTTTGAAAATCAAAATGATAGTACATTTATTTTTTTTTCGAAACGATCCTAATCTGCGGTAGCAATCTTCTCTGCTGACATGTGCAAAAGTCTTGGTCATTAAATACTGGACGTGCACAAAACAGACGCAGAAACTCCCTTACGTCTCAAGTGTGTACTTCACTTGGTGACGGCAGAACCTTCCCGGACTCATCTGCCCTCCGGCAGTCTATCCTCAAACTGTAACATTAAGTGTGCAACCGCAGTCTTAGTACGTTTTTTATCTATGTCTGTATCTTCATGTTTTACAACAGATGGCTACGTGCGGATAAACAGAGATTTACAGACATTGGAAAGTGCAAAAGAAAAATAGAATAGCTTGTTTGTTTGTTTGTTTGATGTTGCTGTTGTTGCTGTTTCTTAATGATAGTGTATTTTGGCTTTTGCACTCGACTAGTTGCCTTGCAGAATATGTGCAATGTCTTTAAAGTAACTTTCCATTTATTAGGAGCCATGATGATCAATTCATTGATTGTGGGCCCTCAAAATGAAAAAGAGAAGAAGAATCAATAAAAGAATCGTAAATCATTTTTTTTCTTCTCTATTATTATTCGGTGACACCGAGCCAAGCACCGAGGAGATCTTCTAGCCAGAGGCGTAGCGAGGGGGGGGGGACGGGGGAACAGATTCCCCGGGCGCCAGCTAGTTAGTGGCGCCAAAATGTGCTTTAAATTATTGGTAAAAATAATGGATTTGAGAGTTGAAAAAAAGAAAAAGGGGGCGCTTTAAAATAGATCTTGTACCCGGGCGCGAATCTTGTCACAGGGCGCTAAACACCCTCGCTACGTCTCTGCTTCTAGCTTGGGTGGTTAACTCCAAGTCTAAGAATAACAAACTAAATCAAATGGGCTCTTCTACACCAGATGGTTTAACAACATTTTCTGTACCCTGCATCCCCAAAGAATTGTTCGATTAAGACTCACAGCCGCCACCACCCCCAGCCCCCTACACACACCCACACACACACAAAGGAACAGTTCTTTTTTTTTTAATTGGCCCAAAAAATGTATTAATTGAATTACAAATAGAAGGTAAAAATCATAAGTGCGTCTTTTTTATATAACGTTAAATATTATTGATGAAATTTTAAACAAACATCTCTACATTTTTAAGTCAGTTTAAAGTCAAAACTCTCGTGTGTTCTTACAATCACTTAAAGCAAAAGACTCCTGTGTTCTTACAATCACTTAAAGCAAACGACTGCTGTGTTCTTACAATCACTTAAAGCAAAAGACTCATGTGTTCTTACAATCACTTAAAGCCAAAGACTCCTGTGTTTTTACAATCACTTAAAGCCAAAGACTCCTGCGTTCTTACAATCACTTAAAGCCAAAGACTCCTGTGTTCTTACAATCTCTTAAAACCAAAGACTCCTGTGTTCTTACAATCACTTAAAGCCAAAGACTCCTGTGTTCTTACAATCACTTAAAGCCAAAGACTCCTGTGTTCTTACAATCACTATTTGTAGAACCTCCTGAAAAACTGTCTCCCAATCCTGTGTTGAGTAGCGGAGAAATGTTAGTGAAACGCTGGCTCAGCGTTTAAAACTTAAGTCTCAGAGGATCAAGTCACACCCTGCATTTTGTACAGGGTGAATGGGGGAGAATGGTGAATGGAAATGGTGAATGGAAATGGTGAATGGTGAATAGCTAAAGCAACAGGCTCGGGAACAACTACGACAGTGACTACAGGTGCAGCTACAGGTACAGCTAGGGCAACAGCTACGGATACATCTACGGTACACCTATGGCAACAGCTATGACAACAGCTACAGATGCAGCTACAGGTGCACCTATGACAACAGCTACGACAACAGCTACGACAACAGCTACGACAACAGCTGCAGATGCAGCTACAGGTGCACCTATGGCAACAGCTACTACAACAGCTACAGATGCAGCTACAGGTGCACCTATGACAACAGCTACGACAACAGCTACAGATGCAGCTACAGGTGCACCTATGGCAACAGCTACGACAACAGCTACAGATGCAGCTACAGGTGCACCTATGGCAACAGCTACGACAACAGCTACAGATGCAGCTACAGGTGCACCTATGGCAACAGCTACGACAACAGCTACAGATGCAGCTACAGGTGCACCTATGGCAACAGCTACGACAACAGCTACAGATGCAGCTACAGGTGCACCTATGGCAACAGCTATGACAACAGCTACAGATGCAGCTAAAGGTACTGCTACAGGAAAAAACTATGACAACAGCTACATATGCAGCTACAGTTACAGCTACAGGAAACTGCAGTGGCAACAGCTGCGGCAACAGCGACTGTCCAAAGGATGTGAGTGGAAGAGCTAACTTAAGGATAGTCGGGATTTTACATTTTTTTATCCGGGAACTATTTTAGCCCAGTAAAAATCCGTGTCGTCTATTGGCACCGGTCCTCTCAGTGGACAGCCGGATACGCACTGGAAAACCTTCTGGTGAAATAAATGGGGAAGTAAACAATTTCAAGTGTCCTTAATTGCCTTAAGATACACATCTCTTGAAATTGTAGCTAGTTTTGGGCTAACGAAAAAAAAAAGGGAGGGGGGGGGTTAAAATCTCCACCGTTGTGCAATATGGAGCGTAGCTGGTGGAGTTGTACTCGAATGTTTGAGGTCAACATGGTATGTTTACATTTCATTTGAGGAAGGGGGTCCGGGAGGAGGGGGATCTCAGAATTTGATTCAAACTAAAAACGTGGACCGAAAAATCTTGAGACTTCATAAATGGCATGGTTGTTGTTTTTTGTATCTCTGCAAATTTTATTAAGTTAAACCAGGCGAGTGCCAGATTAACCCTTGGGGGCCTGTCGCACACAACGCAACTGATACAGTAGGCCGCTTTCTAACCGCAACAAAATATATAAATAGATAAATTACTTATAAAGTATTTCAAACCATTTAATAGATAAATTACTTATAAAGTATTTCAAACCATTTAATAGATAAATTACTTATAAGTATTTCAAACCATTTAATAGATAAATTACTTATAAGTATTTCAAACCATTTAATAGATAAATTACTTATAAAGTATTTCAAACCATTTAATAGATAAATTACTTATAAAGTATTTCAAACCATTTAATAGATAAATTACTTATAAAGTATTTCAAGCCATTTAATAGATAAATTACTTATAAAGTATTTCAAACCATTTATTGAAATAAAAATAAAACTGCTATCGTACTTAATAACCTTTAGATAATTTTCAACAGGACCCTCTTGCAAGTACGATAACTGGTGTTGTTGTTTTTTTTTTTTTTGTTGTTTTTTTAATTTTACCGCAGCGTTTCTCAACATGTGGGTCGCGACCCCTTTGGGGGTCGAATGACCCATTCACAGGAGTCGCCTAAGACCATCGGAAAACACAGATCCCCTACAGTTGCGAAGTATTAACGAAAATAATGGAGTTGTTGGGGGTCGCCACAACATTAGGAACTGTATTAAAGGGTCGCGGCATTAGGAAGGTTGAGAACCACTGCTTAACGGAATACAGCAGGATTTTTTTTTTTTTTTTTTTTTTTTTTTTTTTTTTTTTTTTGACGAAATTTAGGCTTAAAAATCTTTTCCTTTTCCGTTTTTGAAAAGGGAGACCAGCTCATTGGTGTTTTTGAAAGTCGATAATTTAGACAATGTCAACAATAATGACGTAAAAAGTTCATGACGGAACTTGTTCTGGCACGTGATAAAAGCCGCTGTCATTTGCTTTGTCGATTATAGTTGTTGTTGTTGTTGTTGTTGGTGGTGGTGGTGGTGGTGGTGGTGTTGTAATAGTTGTTGTTGTTGTTGTAATAGTTTTTGTTGTTGTTGATTTTGTTGATGTTGTTGGTGGTGGTGGTAGTGTTGTTTTTGTTATTGGCGTTGGTGGTGTTGTTGTTATTGGTATTGTTGTTGTTGTTGATGGTGGTGCTGTTGGTATTGTTGTTGGTCCTTTTTTTTTTTGTTGTTGTCAATGTTGTTGTTGTTGACGATGTTGTTATTGTTGTTGGCGTTATTGCTCCTGTTGTTGTTGTTTTTTGTTGTCAATGTTGTTGTTGTTGTTGTTGTTGTTGACGATGTTGTTATTGTTGTTTTTGTTGTTGTTGTGAAACAGTCCATTGTAAGACGATCTTAATAAAAGAATGTTTATTCTGAAAATAAAATTTAAAAAATTATTTTTCGGTGCATGTGTGCACAGCTGGCAAGCACCGGTACCAGCTGTTTTGACAGCTGGCAAGCACCGGTACCAGCTGTTTTGACAGCTGGCAAGCACCGGTACCAGCTGTTTTGACAGCTGGCAAGCACCGGTACCAGCTGTTTTGACAGCTGGCAAGAACCGGTACCAGCTTTTTTGACAGCTGGCAAGCACCGGTACCAGCTGTTTTGACAGCTGGCAAGCACCGGTACCAGCTGTTTTGACAGCTGGCAAGCACCGGTACCAGCTGTTTTGACAGCTGGCAAGCACCGGTACCAGCTGTTTTGACAGCAGGCAAGCACCGGTACCAGCTGTTTTGACAGCTGGCAAGCACCGGTACCAGCTGTTTTGAGCGTATGAACCGAACGGGGGAATAAATGCATTTGTCAAACCCATAATATTGTCTCTTGATGTTGCTCTGGTATAATCTTGTCTGGGTGGGGGGGGGTGGGGTGGGAGGGACCTTTTCGTAGCACATACTGAAATATTTAAAAATGTTATCTGGTAACTAGCAGTATCAAAGAGATACAGGAGAGCGTTTAGAAATTTTAAATACTACATTTGGATCAAGTAACCAGAAGTAACCAAGAGTAACATAAGGAATATCAATGAGCTAAATATTACATTTCGATCTCATATCTAGTAGTATCAAAGAGCTGATTGAGAAAGCTCAAAGAGCCAAATATTACATTTTGATCCACGTGAAAAAGGTCAGTGAGGAAACAGCCGCATGTGTTTCGGCAATCTCCGGTCTAGCTCAGCTGTAATGATAACCTATCATTGGGACGTTGAAAATCTTTCTATGTTGCTTGACATTGCTCCTCTTGTATCCAACTGTCATGG